ATACTGGGTCGCCCTGCACCACTAAGAGTAAACTTGCAGAGAACTGCTTCAGCCCCAGCTGACAAGAGGCCACCGAATTGACTTAATACTATGCACAGAGCTACCTGAAACATTGTCTAACAGTTGAAACTACAAGGAAACAAAAATACACATGTGATCGCTTCCCGCGCTCCTGGACCACCAAGCCTTACATCCCTCAGGGGTCGGCATATTTGTATTCGACTTGTTTGCGAGGATGGCGGCACTGGCTCGATATATCGGTAGATCACTGAGAGCCACCGCAAATGTCAGCTATGCATTCAATCACCTCAAAACTATGCCTAATGAAGTAGAATGCATGGAGCATCCCTCAGGGATTAGTCAACGTCGAGAGCTTTATCCTTTTTTCTTATTTTTTTTGTTAGAGTAAATATTGCAACGACGTCAATGGGTATCCAAAATGATCCACTATGAAACCAAGACGTCAGACTGTGCGAGGCAGTTGCCATAGTGGGTTTCGGAGCATTCGAGACAGTTGTGCAAGTTCACTTAGAAGAAACTGTCTATCGTCTCATGATTTGCCACGTTGAATTCTTTGAGACTACCGTATTGTACGTCAAACGTGGATAATTAAACGTTTATACAAAAGTCAAGCTAATGTAACAACCACGACTTAGCGAAATCAAGAACTTTGAGGTGGCTGCTTGGAGTTTGAAGAACAACTGCAGTGCACAGATGGTACACGAATACGAGGTATCATTGGGATTGTGGGTGCCTTTGTTAGCGCTGAGCAAAAAAAAGATCATGCAGCAGAATATTAACAATCTCATAAGCTGATGATGAGCATCCGAATGAGAACGTGGTTCTTTCCTAGTCTGTGTCTTTACTAGCGTTCAAGTGTCAAAATACGAGAACATTACAGAGAGTTTTCGAGCCAGCTGAGAAGCAAGAAAGTAGTAGATCTGTTACTAAGAACTTTCATAGAACTGGCTAAACTAGCAAACTCGCTAAACTGAATTACTCATGTGCTTTGAAAAGTGTCCTTATCACAAATGAAATGTGGTGAGATGGAGCACCCACTGAAGATCGATAATTGATGCACATTTTTACTAGAACGTATTATGAACTGCTTACTTTTTTCTTTTACATTCTAATAGCTAAAAGATGTCTTTTCTTTCGTACACTAGCCGTTTATTGTTCCACACACTATTTTCGCACAGTATATTAAGAAACAGTTTTCCTTGTATTAGCTGAAGGTATTGAACATTAAGAATAGGCATCAAACACAAATTAAAACACTATGATTTTAACTGAAATTTAACTGGGATGAATGCAGCTTTGTGCTCTCGAGAACACTCTCGTTGACGATTGACTGCTGATAGCACAGTTAGGATAAAGAGCTGGCTGAGAGAAAGACATAGCAACGGCCGCGTTGGTGCAGTGGTAACACATAATAACCCGGAAAGTGTAATCGAGGGTTCGAAGTGCATCTAAGGCTTGGAGTCTTGCATCCAACAACATTCCCAAAAAAACGAGAATCCTCAAATAGCAACTCACACGAAGAAAGTTCGAAATTCCTCGTTGTATATGGATGGCAGGAAATAAAGGGAAAATGCCGGGATTTGTACAGTAAGTGATTTCAGCTGATGCAAAAAAGAATTACTGATACTGGTGTACATCGAATTTGAGCACCCAGAAATGCTTCTCATCAAGATAAGACAATACACAATAAAATGAAGAAGGAAACACTTAGATAAAACGCTTATCACCTCACTAAAGCGACCTTGAGTTAACCTGGTCGTGAATGTTCAATACATTGGAATGTACTGAATATATGTAGATACAAAATGTATTAAAATATAGCGCATGTCAAGAAGTTGTAAGTGAGTCGAGAAATAAATACTCGCCTACTTAACCTGTGTGGATGGTCCGCTATCACGAGTTGTGAGGACCCCAGAACATTTTCCATTCGTTTTTGCGTTGCAATCGTCGTCCGTGGTGGTGGTTTGATTCGAGCATGGTGGCGGGTGCGAGTCACATACCGTGCTTTGTAAAACAACTGCCGCTGCTAACACAGCTGTTCCACTTTGGTTATGAACACCTCCGCCCAAATGTGTAGATGGTCGTGCAAGAGCACGTCTGCATTCTCGTGGTGTCCCCTTTACAGTTCTTTTCGCCCATCGGTGGTCCGTTTTTTCATTATGTGGTCGGCTCATCTATGTTTCGCTATCGATGTCTGTCCTAGTGTTTCGAAAACGGGATAGATTTCGAAGATCAGAGTTTCGCATTCCAGCCAGATGTTGTGTATGTCGGTTTTATTTTATAAAAAATTATTTAAAAGAATTATTTCGCTATTAAGGCTTCGTTTATTGTTACTTCATTAGAAGCAGGTGCAAAAATTCAACATACTAATAGTAATATAGAATGTGTAATATGTAAATATATAGTGTAATAAAAGTATTAACAAAGGATAGAAGAGATGAAGCTCTTGGCGTTGATGAATTCCTGAGGGATGCGCCATGCATTCGACTTCATCGGGCATCGTTAGAGATAACTGAATGCTTATCTAAGGCCTTTACAATGACTCGCGGTGGCCTACCGATGTATCAAGCCAATGCTGCTATTCTCCCAGACAAGTCTGGTACCAATTTACACACCCCAGAGGGATGGAAGGCTTGGTGAGCATTGGGCACTAGGATCGATCTCATGTGTATTCCAGGGCGCCTCCGACCACTGCCACACACGCGCCCTCTATAGATATTAATATAAACATGAATATATACGAAATATAACAAAACATCTAAATTTACAGCTTTACTTCACCGTTGAAGACGTTATTCAGCTTGTTATTTTGTTTCTTTTACGGAAGAAGAACAAAGCACGTTTTTCTTGTCTTTAAAGATTTCACATGACTTAATGATTAATGAGCATAATGATTAATGAGTATGCTAGCAACTATCGTACTCACCTGAAATATGTGGAAATAAAACAATCGACCCTGCCTTCCAATGGTTCTAACGAGCGACTTTATGTCGAATATCGACCACTAGCATGAACATAACATGCTCATTCAGGTGATAGCGGATCCATAAGGATTCCATTTTTCGTCGGCGACATCATGCCTGTGTCAACTGCGGTGCACTTAGCAGCGCACTGCTCCGAAACCCAAGGTAACGAGCTTTTCTGATAATTTCGCAGTAGTTTCCGAGACCGGTTCTTAAATCACCGTTCAGTGTTCAAAAAACTTTTGATGACTAAAAGAAATCTAAATTTCCAATATCTCGTTGAGCTTAAAAAAACCTAAAAAGTCGAGATCTACCGAAATATTAAGCATTCTGGATCGGTGTGTCACATAAAGAAAAACACTATAAAATCATAGTGGAATACAAACACGTTAAAATTTTCTACTCATTCGCAGTAATCGCCAACACAAATGGGGCTATGGGAAGAACCATTGCATTGTGCTTGAGAGGCCTCGCCTGTTCCTTCGATTTGTTGTACGCGAAACGACCCTTGACTATTAAAAGCAGAGAAAAACAATTCATGGGTTGCAGAAAATCAAAATTTTATCGCGGAGCAACAGAACTACTTAATTGTTGAAAAAGAATTTCAGATTCTAGCGGTTTCCACTTCATCGAAGTTCACCACGATTTGAGATATGCGTTTAATGTTGGAAGAACAAACTACTTTGGGTCACGTAAGACCCACACATAGGTCATACTGTCATACACTGTTTCATTAAAGAACACCGTTTTTCAGCCACATCATTCACCTCTATCCGCCTTCCACTGGCCGCAATGTTCAGCGAAGTTTCTCCTGAGAGGAGCGCATCTTATAAACTCACATTAGATTCTGATAGGCCGTGTGTGAATCTCAACACTCTTTTCCATGGTCGAAACCGTTTATAGAATTCTGCTAGAATATTTCATTCCGCAAGGAAATCCTCATTTAGAATTTCAAACGGAAAACGCGACATCAATCGGCTTCCGAGTTCACGGATACGACTTCACTGCGGCAATCTTCACAGCTAGTAAATCGAGTAAGATCACATTTTACAAACTAAGCAATGTAAACACTAAAAAATCGTAGTGCTTCAGTGCGGCCATACGTCGCTCAGTCTTACAAGATTTGAGGTTCGATTTTCATTCAAATGCAATAGAAACCTTTGTCACTATGGCGGGTGTTTACTACTCGATAGCAAGCTTGACTACAGTTGGAAAAACAGTTTTGTCCATAACTTCTATAACGCTGAGATATTCGCAAACTCCGAACAGCAGGTGTCTATGGTGGGGAACGAACGCGCTATTGTCTCTTCTGGGGAGTAGCGCGTTCACCACCACACCATGCGGGTCCTTCGTTTCACCTGTCTCTCAGCTAGTTCTATCGATCTTTTGCCATCAGCAATCACTCGTCGACAGGATTGATCTGGGGAGCCCAAATTGGCATCGAATCCAGTTAAGCTGAGGCTATTGTTATAATCACAATCTTAACCTTTTTATTTACTGCCTATTCTTTTTAACGGCGGAGTATATTGCGAAATATAACTTCTATAATGGCAAAAGATCGATAGAACTAGCTGAGAGACAGGAGAAACGAAGGATCCGCATGGCGAGGTGGTGAACACGTTACTCCCCGGAAAGGACAATAGCGCGTTCGTTCCCGATTGCAGACACCTGCGGTCCGGAGTTTTGCAAATATCTCAGCATTATAGAAATTATATTTCGCAACTCACCCTGCCGTTAAAAGGAATAGGCAGTAAATAAAAAGGTTAAGACTGTTTTGTCCATAGTTTAGTCCATTTCAAGATAGTACATAGATGAAATCCAAAATAACTCGCATGGAGAATTGATATATTGGAGATGCACGTAAGGACACATACCAATAGGACTGGTCAAGGTCCATCCTTTGAATTCTTACCCTGTAAAAGAAAAGAGTGCGTAACTGTTCCCTTTTCCTGGAATCCTGGAGGAAGCACTCACATATGAAATGTTTCCAAGAGATGGAATAGCGACCAAGACCAATGTCTGCCACTTCCAGACCGGTATCGCATCCAGACCGACTATCCACACCTTCTAAATATCGTTGTCACAGAGCTTGTTGAGCGAATACGAAATACTCAGGGAAGTGTCCAGCTTAGTAGCAATGTTCCAATGAGTTACATGACGACGAAGTTGGAAGAGCTGATAGAAGTGAGATCACGTTCTGTTTGTGTACCTAAGATAAACAAATAATCCGCAAATTTCTAAAACTCTGTTTGTTTATATTTCACTTTTTCCAGTGACTAACACTCATTCATCTATGCGATAAGAACTAAAAAATTGCACAAAATCCGAGTAGTGAGATTTCAGCTGGAATCGAAAGCCGATGTTGAACAGAAGGTGATCACCAGTCGCTCACGAGAAATACGAGCAATCGAGGCGCTAGTTCTAAATAGAACCACGAACACAAAGCCAGAGACATTCCATAATATAGACATACTTTACAACAATGCTCATGACCAGGTGAAACAGTTGCCGTAGTAATTTCGTACGAAAACAAATTATCCACAAGGGTCAGATATGCCTGGTGGATGGACCATATACATTTAGGTTGTCGCGGTTTCATTGACCAACGATCGTAATTCTTTCTAGTTATTCGCGGCAATCGATGAATTAAGTTCAATTCGCGTGAAAATTCAAGAGGTACAACTTGCACTGTCCTCTTTGTTCGACCTAGTAGCGCTTCTGTTGAGTCTCGACGGTACAGAAATCGTTCTCAATGGCCACTTCATTACGGATACAACCCAGGTGAGCGCACAGCGTTTCTGAAGACGAGCATCGACGAGAAGTCGATAGTGGTTCGCTCACATGGCTGGCTTTTAAGAAACCGTTAAGGACACGTTCGAGCAAACAACTACAGATATTGTAACTTGTAGTCGAAAGATCAGAATACTTTCCTTGCGAAATGATACCATTACAGAGTGTACAGGAACGCATTTTGTGGGCGTCAGAACTCTCCAGTGATCCATCTCATGCTGTTGCTGTGTTGTGCCAACGGCCACGGAAACAGCTATCACAAATTAAGGAGGATGAAAACGAAGCCAATGATCTCGACAATTTATACGAGAAAGAAATCAAATCTTAAGGATACACGAAAGTAGTTGGGCTATTATAAATGCACCTGTTGCTGTTTATATTGAAGGTTTCGTTGTTGTATGATGATTTTGCTACACGGGTTTTCTCGATTCGCAACGATACCCCAGATCTCAAACGTGGGTAATCAAGCCGTTTATCACATAACATTAGCGCGATAATCACTTGGTGAAGTTAGAAATGTATATACAGCACGTTACAAAGTATTATTATCATTATTTTGCAGTAATTCCCGCGTGCGATTTTCTATTAACCTCGACATTAATCAAGTAATTGTCTATGTTCTGGATGAGCAAACACGAGCTGTTATTTTATTCCTTATTACGGTAAAGCTGATGTTTTCGCGGATTTCGCGTTCTTCAGAGTATGGAAAGGTTATGTTGACTGCAATCTACCCAACAAAGCACCTCCATAATCAAGCAAGGAAAGCACTAAAACAAGATTTCAACCGCACTGGAAACAAAATGACTTCTTCGCGACTCATTGTTTTCTACTAGATCTCCATTGGATATTTCACGTACAGACCAACCGCACACAGTTCACATGGAAGCGCAACTGTGTACCATCGACCCGGATCGTCTCTGGTGAAGAAGAAGGCGTCGAAACGTTAGCCGAAAAACAGTTGTTTATCATCCTCGAGTATTAAGCTCATCAAAGAAAGAATACTTGTTGATTAGTCATACCGAGGTTAAAGGAAAGCTGGTTTTTAAGTATTGTCACTATTATCATTGTCATCCACTGATCTCCTTTTTGAACCTTTTTCGTGGCCCGGTCTGGCTCGGTGTCCCAGTTTTACCAATATCTCAGCATCGTTGTGGTTGTAATTCACATCATACCCTGCCGTGAAAAAATTGTAGTAAGCAGAAAATAGAAGCTTAACACACACTCTGCTTTTGTGCCCCACGTGTACTTACAGAAGTACTTTGTCGGATTTTAGGTTACGGAATATAAAATCAGTATCGAAAATTAAATGGAGAGTGGACCAACATAGCAAAGGCGGTGAGTTTAGAGCCTTTAGTTATCTCTCAGCTCAAAAATGGCCAGCAAACTTGTCTCGTCCTATCCTTGCTTATTACAACACATAAGCTTACTTCTATTGATGCTCTTGCATCCATCAACCCTTCATCATTTATGGTCAGAGCAATCACCAGTTCTATAGACGTATAGACGGGCCAGGGGATATAATAACATGATTCTTAAACCATATCTTCACACAAATGCTAAAATTTACACAAACCCATCTACCTTATATCAAAATATTGCTAGATCACCAACGGTATGCGCAACAAAACAGCACTCAGGTAATGGAGTCATTCGATGTTACTTCACTTTAGAACAACGTGCCGAATTACTCCACAATGCAAGCCATCAAGCTGCTCGTAGAATACGAAAAGGAAATAAATATGTATGTCTTGTTGATTCAACAATTAATGACTCTCTTAAAACAGTTTCTTAGTTTGTGAAACAACTACAATGATGCTGAAATATTTGCAAAACTCCGGACCGCTGGTGTATGCGGTGGGGAACGAACGCGCTATTGTCCCTTCCGGGTAGTAGCAGGGTGTTTTATATCACATTGAAGTCTTTAAGTGGTTTTTTGTTTTCTTTCGACCCTTCAGTTTCACCACCATTTTTCATTGAATTTTCACTTCCCACTTCATTTTATCCCACTTTATTCGTTGGAAAAGAAGTATTATCTGATATCGCGTTCACCACCACACCATGCGGGTTCTTCCTTTCGCCTGTCTCTCAGCTAGTTATATCGATCACTGCCATCTGCAATCACCCGTTTTCACCCAATCACAGCAGTTTTGCAATTATCACAGCATTGTAGTTGTTTCACAAGTAATACTCTAACGTGAAAACTAGTAGAAGGCAGTAAATAAAAAATTCAACATTGTAAGTATCCTAGTTGTTCAATCTTCAGGTGGTCGGGAAGATATTTTGCACAAATTACAGGGTTGCTCATGGGACACTGCCACTCTTTTTATGTCTAAGGCAGGAACACCACTTCTCGACCACCCACCCTTACTCTACTTCCGACTGCGCGTTCAGTAATGCTAAGTGATCTTTCATCCAATTTACGTAACGATAAAGTTTTTGATGCATATGTTAAGGCTGGGAGAATCGTCGAGTCGAAAAGGTGGGCACGGAGTCGGATGCTTCTTGTCCTCTTCACTACATCCTCAATGCTCTTGAAAACTCCCAAGCCACTCCTTTCGCTCTGCTCAACTCTGTAGCTAAGTCGTTCAACATGTTTACTTCTTGACCTCGATTGCCATGGTCAGAGCATTAAGAGGTATTCGTTTTGCTGAGTATAAACGGGGCATGCGAAACCAATCCATTCCTCATAAACATCGCTTTTATGAGATTTAGTCGAAAACCAATCTTTTCACTAGCGTTACCATAGTCGGCCAGCATTCGTTTTGCACTGGTAATAGTTAGCGATTATAAGAACAATGTCATCAACAAAGTGAAGATAACATAATTGCCGACCATCGATGTTCACTCCTCTGTTGTCTCAATCCAATGTTCGCGTGGCGTTTTCGACGGTGATGGCAAATAGTTTTAGCGAGATGGTATAGTCTTCCCTAACCACTTTTTTGACATCGATGTTAATATCATTACAAATTGGTGATATTTCGTTGTGAAAATTCCATGTAACTCACAATGAGTCTTTACATACTGAGTTGAGACGCGATGGCTGTCGAGGACTTCCATGACTGCTTCCATCTCAGCTGAGTCAAAAGCTTTCCTTAAATCGATGAAACAGATAGACAGAGCGGTCTCTTATACTGTCATAACACATAAATGAGTTTTGCTATTGTGTGGATATCGTCCATCGTCTTAAATCCTTTTCGAAACCTGCTTGCTCAAATGCCTGCCCTTCATCCAGTGTTCTGTCAATCCTGTTTAGGAAAACTCGGTTTAAAAGTTTGTAGACGACGGCAGATTAGGCGATAATCGCTAATTTCGTGGAGGCCACCTTTCCTGAACAATAGCACGCTCTTGCTGGTCTTTCACTGAGTAGGAACCATGCATTTTGAGAAGTAACGTGTGAGGAGCCGAGTCAGAGTGTTTACGAGGACTGGTGGAGGGTTCTTCAGGTGTTCTAGTCTTATCCTGTCCGGACCTGGCGTTGTTCTATTCATCACCGACAAAATAGTACGTCGGATTTCTGAACGGAGAACTGGTGGTACGACATATCTATCCTCCTTTATCTTACATGACGGAAGGTGGACGTGGCTATCGAAGAGATCTGAGTAGTATTCGCGAATGATTTTCTTTATTGTCTTTCTGGACGCTGTAACTGTTCCGTCTGGGCGTCGGAATGCAATTATCTTGGCTTTGTAATTGGCCAAGGTGGGCTTTGTGAATGCTTTTCCCAGCCTCTGCAGCTTCTACCATAACTGCTGCTCTTCACGCTTTTAGGTTTTCCTTTATCGCCTGTCTACATTGTTTCGCAAGTTCGGACGTGAGTTGGAGGTTAGCTGCAACTCTCGTGATTCCACGTTGACGTATCAGATCGAATGTTTCTAGAGACGGACGTCTCCTGGTGACTTTCATACTCCCACATTTCACGGCGCTTAAGATGTTGAATGAGCAGCTCGTATTCCTCGTCGATATTATCAATAACGACATCTTCCAAACTTCTGACTAAAAAATTGAGTAAATTGCAGTCCACTGTGGCTTTTGGACTTTGTTTTTTAAGCTTAGTGACCTTGCTTACTTTTTCGAGAGAAATGGAATCTTGCACGAAGCTGGCGATGTTGTACTCCCGTATAGAATTTTGGGAAAACGGCAACATCGGTTAGGTAGGACCTTCGATTTACTATAATGTGGTCTATTTCGTTGTGGTATTTTCCACTGCGAGACTCCCATATCCATTGTTGAGGCTGAGGTTTCTGGAATTGCAAGTTACCATGAATGGCCTCAGTCGTCATGATAAATTCAGACAGCTTCTCACCTTGCTCATTCCATTCTTATCCGTGGGTCCCGATGTGACATTTTCATACGTCCTTCTGGGTCGAATCTTAGCGTTAAACTCTCCAGTGATGGCCTCAAAGAATGTAAGGTCTTTTCCAGACTTCTCAACGTCCACATAGAATTCCTCGACGTTCTCTTCGTCATAGCTTGATGTCAGTGCGTAGACGACGACAACCGTCAAAGCCGGTAATGTTCTATATTTCATCAATCGCAAATGTCCGATTCGCTTTGTTAGTTGGTCGAATTAATCGATGTTCATGGCCAACCTGGTGTTGACGAGAATGTCAACTCCTCTATTGTCACATCTGCCAAGGACCAGTCCTTCTCCTCTGTAGACCGCGTTGTATGGGTGGCGTTTTCGTCTCGGTTAGTCCAGTGACGTGGTACTTTAACCTCCTTGCCTGCATGATCAAATCTTCTATTGAGGACTCAAATTCAAGTGTTCGTGCATTGCAAGTTCAGCTCGTCACCTTAGTGCTTTGCTGTTTAGGCATCCTAGAATGGCGCTGAGATTTTAGCAACCTCTCCGTACTCATCGGACCCAACCCGTTTTTTTTATTGTGTTCAGCTTATTGATAGGTTGCTAAGCTCAGAACGTGTGGAGTGGTTATATTCTTGGTTAGCATGCCAGTTTCCCCCTGAATGGTTAGCTCCCCGTCTCTTGATTACGAAATTTTGGCCGAATTGACTCGTAGAGTACAACACACATAAGCGAGAACATACCCACAGACGTACGCAGGAGTACATCCTCGTAAATACACAAGGTATGGTGCTTTCTTGTAAACGATAAAGGATAATCCTCTCGGCGTTCATCAATCCCTGCGGGATGAGCCAAGCATTGTTAAGAGGTCAATGCATGCATATCTGGCCTGTGCAAAGACCCGCGGTGGCCTAGCGATATATCGAGCCAGTGTTGCTATCCTCCCAAGCCTGGTACCAATTTCCTGACGCCGTAGGGATGGAAGGCTTGGTGGGCCATGGGTGCTGAGATTGATTCTACGTGTTCTGCAGGGCGCCTCCGACTACTGCGCCACACGCGCCAGTCATGAGAACACCTTAGTACTTTCCTACACGCTTAATAATTTACAAGAAACTGCCGTCAAATTCTTCAACATACATTGCGCGTAGCGAAAAATTAGACGCACTCGAGTGGTTATCACACAAAACCAGGCAAAAATGGCCATCCGAAAATGGAAACCGCCAAAGTAAAGATTGATCCATCATTTCTAGCACGAAGCTTTAACTGCATCATGAATGAACTACGAAGCAGTGATATTATCACAATCTGTTTTTTAATAACACTAAACAACAGTCAAGTCATAACAACAACAATATACAAAAGTGGTAAAAAAATTATGCTAGATCAAAATCATCACGGGCATTATTGTAGTCGAGCACGTGTCTCTTAATCTTGCTTGCGTTCGTCCAAGTAATCGCGTCTTCCTGAGCCCGAGTCACCATGAAGGCCGGATCTGTTATCAGTTTTGGCCCAATACGCACATGACCTTGTTCCACCTGCATAACAAACCATTTTTAACGGAACGACCACAAAACATGGGCTAGAAGGATTGATAGGATTCCATTCATGCATAGTATGAAAAAAAATACTGAATATGACGCACAAGACTTACAAAGTCACTTGCAGTACGTATATTTTCCACCATTCCAATATTTCTCATCACCACTGGAAGACGACGTCTAGCGAAAGACGCAGCAGATACCTAAAATCATGAGACATCAATAAAACACAGGCATGATTAGTTAACTGGACATTTGAATAACATTTACACAGGAAGAATTTCACATGTCGAAAGACACTTTCCATTTAACTACAATGATGCTGAGATATTTCCGAAACTCCGGACTGTAGGTATATGTGGTAGGAATAGAACGCGCTATTACTCTTTCCGGGAGCTAACGCGTTCACCAACACACCATGTGGGTCCTTCGTGTCGCCTTTCTCTTAGCCATGTTTTAACCTATAGCTGCTTAACTGGGTTCAGTCCCGAGTTGTGCTCCCCAGATGAATCCCGTTGACGGCTGATTGCTAACAACACCTATAAGTCAATAACCCGCATGGTGGTGGTGAACGCGTTAGCCCCCGGAAAAGAATAATCCTGTGGCGCGGAGTTTTGCAAATATCTCAGCATCATTGTGGTTATACTTCACATCATACCCTGCCATCCACGGATCTCCCTCACATGAGGGATCTCGAGCAGGTTAGTCGCGAGGTTACGTGGCGCGTTCCCAGGTGGTGGATTGTGTGTTAGTCGCGGACCAAAAGCGACCTTTGCTTCCCTGAGACGCAGGTGGATCCAGTGGATGGACTCCTGTTTCTGCTGCACTGATTTGGCACATACTTTCTGTATTTGCTAGGCGTATTCATACATGCGTGTGTGGGTGCGTTCTCGCTTATGCGGATTGTATTCTACGAGTCAATTCGGCCAAAAGCCTGCAATCCAACAAATAAGCTCTATGTCCACTTTGGGAGAGCCTGACAAGCTACCCGTGAGTATACCCAGCCCCAACGTTCAGAGCCCAGCAAGTATACGTGGGTATCAAAAATGATAAACACAGCAAAAGAAAAAACGGGCCTCATTCCCCTGACCCCGAAAGAGCCCCCAATTTCGCAGCGTTGGATAGGACGAGTACGGAGAGGCTGCTGAAGTCTCAGGGCCAATGGAAGCTGCCAGGATTTCAAAGAACTATGGTGACGATCTGTACCTACAATGCATGCTCACTTGCATTTGAGTCCTCGATAGAAAACCTGATTATGAAAGTAAGAAGGATAAGGCACGACGTCATGGCCTGGCCGAGACGAGAAGATACCAGCCTTTCAACGCCGTCTATGACACCGGAAAAAAACTGTTCTTCGGAACATTCAACAGTAGAGTCGGCGGCATCGGCGTTCTCGTCAACACGGGTTTGTCCAAGAACATTGATTCATCCGAACAGCTTACAACCGAAACCAGACGCTTACGATTAAAAAAACGTGGACCAATATTGGCTCTGGCAATCTTCGTCGTTTACGCGCCGACATCAAACTATGATGAAGAAGAAGTTGAAGCGTTCTATATGGATTTGGAGACGTTCCACAGAGAAGACCACACATTCTTCAAGGTCGTCATTGGAGATTTCAACGCCAAGATTGGACCAAGAAGAACGTCTGAAGAACGACACATTGGGACCCACGGATAAGAATGGAAATAACAGGATGAGCGGATATCTGAGTTTATAATGGCGACCAAGGCAATCCATAGTAACTCGGAATTCCAGAAGCCCCACACTCAGCGCTGTACGTTGGAGTCTTCCAATGGAGACTACCATAATGAAACAGACCACATAATAGTAAATAAGGTTTGCCTAACCGATGTCGCTGTTGTCTCAAAATTCTACACGGGATCAGACCATTGTCTCCTTCGTGCAAAATTTCATTTCTCGTAGAAAGGAGAAAAAACCGCTAAATTCCAAAACTGAAGTCCAAGAACCACCGTAAACTGGGATTTACTCAACTCATTAGTCGGCTGTTGGGAAGATGCCGTTGTCGATAACATCGCCGAAGAATGTAATCGGCTCATTCAACATCTTCACGTTAGCGCTATGAAAGCTGTGAGTTCAAAAATCGCCAAGAGACGTTTGTCTCCAGAAACACTCGAGCTGATACACCAGCGTGGAATCGCACGAGCTGCAGGCAACCGCGAACTAACGTCCGAACAAGCAAAACAATGCAGAGAGGCGATAAAAGATTTCAGAGAGAGAGGAGCAGCAGTAATGGTCTAAGCTGCAGAGGCTGGGAAAAGCATTCGCAAAGCCCACCGAAGCTGCGCCAATTACAAGAACAAAATGATTGCTCTCCGGCACCCAGACGGAACAGTTACAGCGTCCAGAAAGGCAATGGAGAAAATCATCCACGAATACTACTCGGTTCTCTTCGATAGCCACGTCCACCATCCGTCATATGATATAAAGAAGGATGGATATGTTGCACCATCGGTTCACCTTTCCGAAATCTGATATGCCATTTCGTCGGTGAAAAATCGAACAGCACCAGGTTCTGACAGGATAAGACCACAACACTTAAAGAACCTTCCGCCACTCCTCGTAAACATACTGGCTTACTGGCTCGGGTCTTCGCACGCTACCTGTCTGTATGCAAGGTCCCTACTCAGCGGAAAACCAGCAAGACCGTGTTATTGTTCAAAAACGGTGGCATGCACGACATCAACAATTATTACCCAATCTGCTTACTGTCTGTCGTCTACAAAGTTTTCACTCGAGTCATCCTAAACAGGACTAACAGAACACTGGACGAAGGAGAGCCATTTGAGCAAGCAGGGTTTCGAAGAGAATTTAGCACGATGGACCACATCCACGCGATAACAACACTCAATAAAGCATCGCGAGAGTACGAAAGACCGCTCTGTCTCACTTTCATCGATTTTGAGAAGGTCTTTGATTCAGTTGAGATAGAAGCAGTTTTGGAATCCCTTGATAGTCAAGGAGTCTCTAGTCAGTACGTAAAGATTCTTTGTGAACTGTACAAAAATTTCACAACCAAGGTATCACCATTCTACAACGATATTAACATTAACGTCAAAAGAGGAGTTATGCAAGGTGATACCATCTCGCCAAAATTATTTAATGCCACCCTCCAGAACGTCATGCGAACATTGGAATGGGATAATACGGGAGTGAAAATCGACGGTCGGCAGTTACACCATCCCCACTTTACTGATGACATCGTCCTTATAACACTATTAACCAAGCGGAACGTATACTAAACGACTTTGATAAAGCCTATGGAAAAATTGGTCTTCGACTAAATCTCACAAAAACGATGTTCATGAAGAAGGAATTGGTTTTGCATGCCCCATTCACGCTCAATGGAACGAATAATGCGAATGCTCCAGTTATATCTATCTAGGTCGGGAAATCAATATGATGAACAACCGAGCTCCAGAGCTGAGCAGAAGGAAACGAGCGGCTTGGGGAGCTTTCAAGAGCATCGAGGATATAGTGGAGAGGAGAAAGAACACCCGGCTCCGTGCCCACCTTTTCGACTCAACGGTACTTCTTGCCCTAACGTATGCGTCAGAATCCTGGTCGCTGCGTAAGCAGGATGAAAGGTCTCTCAGTGTTATCGAACGCGAAGTCGAAAGGACGATGCTAGGAGTATCCCGTTTCACACAAGTAAGGGATGGGATGCCATACTCCGACCTGCGTCAGCGATCAATAATCAAGGATGCCGTTCTGTACGCCAAACAGTCGAAGATAAGGTTGGCTGGACCCGTAACGAGTATGAATGACAACCGATGGACAGGAACTCGGGATATCAAACGTTCTGCAGGAAGACCACCGACGCGATGGTCAGAGTTCTTCACAAAGAGACTTGAAGAAAGATATGATGCTCAACGATTCCCTAGAGCGATCAGAACCCACTGGGATACTCTTGCATGCCACAGGAAAAATGGAAAATTTACTGGCGCCTGCTCGAGTCACTCGACGATCAACGGGACTGCAGGTGACACAGGTGACCCTGCCATGAAAAAGAATAGGGTGTGAATGAAATGTGACTAGTTTCCATTTACTTCGCACGTTGACGGTTTGAGATTCTTTACCTGGAGCTTCAAGAAGTCCGCGTCCAGATGTTTCTAGGTTATCATAATAGACAGGCAGTGACCATTTGACGGCTGATTGGTAAGAACACGTAGAGGTCACTAACCCCTATGGTGCGGTCGTGAACGTGTTAGCACCCGAGAAAGGATAATAGCGAGTGAAGGGGCTTGGTCATCTTGCCATCGAGTTCTTTTTTAAAGGCAACTGCAAATTATAGCATAGATTTACTATTTTTCCCTGGGATTTGAAATAGAAATGACGAACTGTTGCTTGGATTGATGACTGCGCTGAATATGGAACCCAACATTGAACCCAGTCCGATATCCAGAAACATTAACCAGTCAAGTTCAGAGTTAAAACCATTGAGATGAGTCGGCGTAGCACGTGGAGCAAACTGGCGAGGATAAACATTGGTGCATGGTTGAGCCTTCTATAAAATGCCTTCTTGCAAACTAATTAATAGATTTTTCTTATATACGTGTTTTTCCAGTCTTTTGCTCTCATTATGGGTTTGGTTGTTCCTGTGTGTCGAACTGTGACGTACAGCGGGGTTCATCACACGGTAGTCTCCAGTGTCTCTTGAGAAGCTCGGAATTTCCATCCAGAAGCCAAGCTAGGACTGGTTCAATCAAAGGAGGTACTACTGCCCTGGTAACGTACTACACACATCACAGATCTGCCTCAAACTCATAAACGCCGGCAACTATATATAGTGTCCTGAGACCTCAGAATGCACCACCTAGACTACTTTGGGACTGCAGAGAAAAACTGGATGCTGAAGCAGCAATAGACTAGCATGGGTACCCTTCTAACTCTGTGCTCCCCTGCGATGTCGCGCAGTGAAACAACGGAAATGAATACAAATCTCGCGTTGCACGGAACGTCACTATAATAGAACAAAAGCAGGTCCACGACATACCACTGAAGAATAGTCCCTTCAGATGATAATCGTTACGCTTTTTCGAGTAGCATATGTCGGTTCAAATCCCATGTGATTTCCTACAGAAGACAAGAATTGGGAACGGCGAACATTGGGTTTTTCACACAATTATTCCTTACCTATAAAGTCCTCCAATATAAGATCCTCCAACCTCCTTTGGTCACCTTCTGTCTCTATCTCCCGCGACAAAAAAAAAGACCAGTACCAACAATTATTATTAACCGACTTCTGCACCTTGTGGAAGTGAACTGGATGTGTTTTATAATCAATTGGAGAAAGTATTCAGCAATAAAAAGTTATTCCACAAATTAGCTGCCGAAGACGTCAATTCCAGACTAGGAAAAGCCAGGGAAAACGAATAGAGGGCCAGACGAAATGGAAAAGGAGACCGAATTGAGGATGAAAACCGACTTAGAAACGGCTGTGACCTTTTCGAAAATAGAATTTCGATAACTGCAGTAACGACCGGAACTAATGTGGAATGACTACATCCTTCATTCGAAACATGGAAAGAATAACGAGAGAGTTTCACACTATTCTTTTCCACACAGCAATCACAGTTCGGGAACCAAAAACTCCGCTGTGGGAATTTCTCTCCCGAATTTTTCTCCATGAAATACGATTTATTATCCGCAGCATTAAGGCAGGTGCAACTGTTTGACTCGACGAAACCACTGCTAACTTCCATCAAGCAGGAATCCAGAAAGAATGTTCCATGATCTTAACCCATACTAACAACTTACTTTCAGAATCAAAAGATTGGACCAGACCAGACCAGTGAAGGACCACAAGCAGAGTCCTCCTGCCCAAGAAGGATAAACGAATGAAATTTTATAAATACCATCCTGCTTACTTGTTGAGTATGCCCCAGGTTTTCCCTAAACTATTTTGTTACATATCAAAACGTTTCTATAAAGCATAAAAAGCAGGATTACAACAGAATTCTGTTGCAAATAACATATCAGAATCGCATATATGGTCAGACAATGTCGTCTACAAGGCATGCTGCCCCTTGTTTTAACTTTTGTGGACTATGATAAAACTCTAACAGCATTTAAAGGACTGCGAAAATAAAAGTGTACCAACTTTACTAAGTCGTTCTGCTGTATCAGCGGTAGGGATAATTCCAGCAGCATACAATTTGCTCAACATCTCCCGAACGGACCTCACACGAAAAGGTTCATTCAGTGGTAACTCCTTGAGTTTTTCCGCTATAGATCGTACCTAAAGTTCAAACCGTGATAGGACAGCATAGCAAGAGTATATTGCGCAAAGCGATAACCTCAGCAGCCAGCTTGTTGTACAATGAATAGTGTTCTCTCTTGATGACATGATATCTGAAGATACGATAATAATGTTCGTTAAAGCCAGATACCTTAGAAACTGTATAAAAATCTGCTTAACATGATGCTCTAACACTAAAACAGTAAGAAAACAGAAAGAAAAAAAACCACACTTCCTCATCTGTTCAGTCTGCTTGCCGTGATGATCAACTTCCCATTGCACAAAATCAGTCTTCTTCAACAATTTTTTCTCATGAAGCTTGAGTTTACGGACCATTGTTAACTCTGCTTAAGGCTATCTCTACCTTGTTTGTTTTTCTTTTCCTGTGAAATATTTCGTACAAAACAATACACGTAGGACGAAATCGCCTACGATCCCAGGTAATAAGTGTTTCGTACTGTGAAGTGAGTGCGAACAACAAAGAAGAAAGTTTTATGCGTATTGAAACCATTTGATAAATCTCCCTTCATAATTACTATCACTACCAAGTAGCAATGAGGGAACATACCCGAAAAGGCAACGAACATCCTCTCGGCTATTAATGAATCACGCGCCAGTAAACATCCGCACATTAGACAGGAAGTAACTAGTCGAGCATTATTGAATGACTAATGTTACTACAAATCACGAACGGGAATACAGCTGGTGGTTATAAAGCAGTCCAACGGCACATGTGGATTTTTCACAAAATCAACGAGACTTCGGATTGAGAGAACTATACCCGAACTGATAATAGCAAAACAACATAAAAAACGGCACCGAGAATGAAAAATATGATGCCGACGAGTGAGGACTACAGCGTGAGAGGGAATTAGCAAAGAGACAAAAGAGAAAGCCATTGAAACTTATCCTCAGGGGTAGGAACTGTTATATACAAAAGCGTGTAGACGAAACCTCCTAGGATGCTCAACTAGCGAACCTGAAATCTCTTTTAGATTAACAAGAACGCTAAACGAGATGCAGTGGTAGCAATGCTGTCACGCTTTCGCAAGGAAGTTGATTTTCGATAATTAACGATCAATGGCGCATTTTAGGAGTTGAGAACTTTAAATTTATAAAAAAGGTCTCAGAGCTATGGTATACAATTTTTACACAGTGCCCTTCCAAACCTTAATGTGGCTAGAACTGGACCTTTCGGAAAACTGGCGAATAAATTTAGGTTTTTAAAATGTCCTACAGAACAGCGGCAACTGTAAACGTAAACGATGGATATGAGAACACCATCGTTTCAACCTGAAAGAAATACCGCTTGTTCATTTCTTTCGAGCTCTAAGTATGAGCCTTTAAGCAAAAAAGTGGAGGAAATATATGTAACGGAATCAAGGAAATCAAAATTTCATTATGCTAGACCAAGAAAATGGCCTACATGCGAAACTTTGTGGACTCTACCAGTCCCATTGGAATTAATACAATTCAGCTAAGCTGAGCTGAGAAATGCTAATTTAGATTTGAAAATAGCCATTATTTTGGCATCGCATGACTCCCGATGAAGGTCACATCGTTGTGCCATGTATTAAAAAAGTTCTCATAGGTGAATAGTACAAAAAAGCTTGTAGGGGTACTGTCAAATTGAAAAAGAGCCATACCTATATCCGTCGTACTTTTTTAATCAGTGTCGATGGAGACGTAGGAGATCGCTGACGCTGCCGCTTGCGATGACGTTGCACTTGTGAGGAAAGGAAAGCGTTGAGGTCTGGTCCTCGTTGTGGTGATGCCGAAGCAGCGGGTGATAATGCCTAAGATTTTGTTTCCGCTAAATTTGAAAGCTTTGTTAATCAACTTGAATTTCGTCACAACTGCTGCTTACTTTTAAGAGAGAAGTCTGGCTAAAACGTACGCCACTGTACATATTTTTAAAAATTTTGCAAGGCTCAGGAGTAAAACTTTAACCACAATGTCATATATACGCATGATATATACAAATATATATATATGTATATGCTTGCAAATTTCTATACACACATACATAAACACGTATGCATGATACCTACTTACTTGATAGTTGAATGGCCCGTCCTCACTGGTTGTGCGGGCTCCACCATAATCTCCATTTTTCGGAGATTTACTGGTTAAGCCATCATGGTTCCCTGGAGTCCCGAGGTCACCCTGGCCAAAGTCTACCCCAGGTCTTCACCACCACGGGAAGCCGCAGCCCTTGTGGATCAAAGGGAGATTTACGACCATGTGAGACTTTGATACCAGGACGGTGGTGGATCCTGGTATTGGTTTACTCTTAGCTAGGTTTCCTGATGGAAACGTCGGACTCCTTCTCAGCTTGGGAGACAGTGCCAGGGGATGAAACCGCCGCTCTACATCGTAGTCCGACACCCAGGAACACCTCCCAGCCACGATGTGGCGGTTAACCATTAGGAGGTGTATGATATATATATATATATGTATATATGTATATACGTATACCTATATACACATGTATATGTATATGTGTATATACATGCATATGTGTGAGGGCACGTGTAGGGTAGTGGTGAAGAGATGCCCTGAAATGCACAGTGGATCGGTTACCCCTTCGATCCCGTATCTCAGGTCACTGAACTACCTAAAGACCAGATGCAACGACCAATCGACTCCATCTCTCTGTAGTTCAGATTCCATTTAAGCTAACATTCCAAACGTCAAGAATACGATACACCCAAAAACAGGAAAGTTGTAGCATCCTTATCGGTCACCACTGCAAATGCACACTTAACCTTCTCGTCCAGGTGATCAAATGGATAGACAGCGAACATTACTTCATAAACACGAAGTGGCAGTATGAGACATACAAAAAAGAGCATACCCGTGAATGAAATACGAGGAGATGTGTTCAAAGTGCTGAGTTTACACAAGGGTGATGTAGAGATCTATTTCGACTAACGTTTCGACGTCTTCGTCTTCATCAGAGCCGACGACCCAAGTCGATGGTATATAGTTGTATCGACTTCTCGACGTAGCGTCTACACAGTTGTATCGCGACGGATCTTCTTCATTGGAACACCGCACGAATGAGGCATGCTCATCCGGCAGTGCCCTTTTATACAGGGCGGTTGTCGTTGATATGACTAATTAAATGTTAAATGATGATCGGTTCAAAAATTGTTCTCCTATTCGCCACGAGATAGTCTTACGGATTTCATGAAATTCGAAAAACGACTACCACATGCCCCATTTGTACGACGTTTGCTTTCTCTAGCACTTTTGTCAAAGCACCTGCATGGCGATGTCGGAATTGCATGCATATTCGTTTCACAGATTATTGTGAAATACCTGTTGGAAAAGATGAACAGCTGCTACTGTGTCCGATGATACAACAGGAGGAGGTCCCATACGCTGTCCATCGTCAATGGACGACATACGGACATTAGCATACAACATCTCGAAAAGACTATTCAAATCTGTAGCTGATCCACTGGTTAGCGCCGTCATCACTTCCTCAACAACACGAAAGTGTAGAGAAGTTAATAATAAACAAAGCAAACGAGATAAAATAATGGTCCTCTTGCAATGAACGGAATATTTGTTTGCAGGACTAGAGAAGAAAGAAGAAACAAAAATCACTATATGGACGTACCTTTGCCAAACTAATGCGCCCAGCCCGAAACCCTTTTTCAAATCCACGCCGATGAACATCGATGGAACTCTGGAACAGATAATCCAGACTAACGAAAAAGTAATATATGTGGTAATGACCCAGGAGTTTGAATGAACAGTGGGAAAAACTCATACCTTGTAGAGCTGGGTAGTAGATGCAGCAGCCGTTTGAAGGGATTTCCACGTAGGATCACGGTAAAGACGTGAGACTTGTTGCGCACAATGCTAGAAAACCACTCATCATCCGTTTTGGACAATATGACTACCAGTAATCGATATCAAAACTTGGTGTTTGGATTTGCCGTAAGTGAAACGTACAGTGAGAGACCATACTTTACAGTTTTGAATCCCGGTGCATTTTGAACGAAGGAGGGTGGAGACAGATTTCAGAAGAAAATCCTGGTAAGGTGTCATATAAAGTAGCCTCGTGCCGTTTTATAACTTACTGGTTCGCAAAATGTAAGAACCGTTCAAATTCAAAGAATAATTTCAGGGCATTTCCAAACAAATAGGACCAAGATAACGCAAACGATCGGCTTTATGTTAACCTCTGCATAGTAATCGATATACCTACATATATGTTCTTACGAACTGCCCCTCTTTAGATGACTCGAGGTTAGTATAGACGTTCTTATCGATTGTCGTTGTTGTTGCTGGGTGTCTGACGTTTCGGCGAACTCACTTTCCTCAGAGCCGTGCTGTTGGACTACCCGTGTGTTGTTAACGAGGAATGAAGACTGAGACCCACCCATGGAGATGTGCATCCAGTTCATCCTATCCCAACTGTCGTTTCGGATAAGTGAGGGACTACTGTTACATATGGTACATCCAGACTCTGAGCAAGGCAAAGCTGCGGAAACTTCAGCCACTGAACAACGACAACAACAACAAGAACATCTACACCAACCTCGCGTCAACTAAACAAAAGCAGTTCGAAAGAACATATATATATAGGATCAGGATATCAGTACAAAATTGGCTACTTATAGTAGCACTGGCTACTTATAAAACATCCCTCAATGAACATGAACTGCTAGGTTTCGAACGATCTCGTATATATAGGCGATAAATAAAGGACACCTCGAAGTCTGTCCAGAGACGGTCGCAATCGCGCAGATCGTCCTCACATTCACATCTTTTGTTCACGGTGCTCGTGGCCGCGCAGTGATGCTCGCTCGACATACCTACGTCGTTTCAGTAAAGCACTATACGGGGCAAACGAAGAAGAAGAAGAAGATCTGGAGCGGAACTCCCTGCCACCCTGAACTGTTTTTGATGAGCACCAAATACGGCCAATAAGTACTCGCTGTACGAGTTGTTCACTAACGTGTACACCACACTATAACTTCCGCTTTATAGCCATTCAGCTGCTAAGAATGAAAGCTTTCCCTCTTTTAAGTACTGCATAGACTCCGTGAAAAACAAGCCAGTCCCAACGAAGATCACCGGGAATATTTTCGCAAAATCAAACTCGAAGTGGATCCCGTCGTTTGGCATCATCGACATAACTGAACAAGCACTTTCGTCGACTAGCTCCTCTCATTCATGTATACTTACTTGCATACTTGGATGGCCCGTGCTCACTAGTGCGGGCCACAGCAAAATCTCAATTTTTCAGCGTTTTGCTGGTGTAGCCATTGTGGCTCCCTACAGTCCCGAGGTTAGCCTAGCCAAAGTTTGCCCCAGGTCGTCATCAACACAGGCTGTCGCCGCCCTTGTGGATCAGAAGGAGATTTACAACAATGCGACTAGTTTGATATCAGGACTGTGGTCGATCCTGGTATTGGTTTACCCTTAGATAGGCTTCCTGGTGAAAACGCCGGACTCAGCTCGGGGGGCCCTGTGGAAGGAATCTCCCCGCTGTATATCTCAGCCCGACACCCAAGAACACCTCTCAGCGATAAACCGTTGGTACGATTCATGTATAATTCAATTCGAATTCATTTATATACACTATATGAATAGGAATTAAATGTTAAATAATGTCCATAGAAATAAGAAGGAAGTTAAAATGTGCGACGGGAACGATCATCGTCTAACCGAAACAAACAAACTAATCAATCGGCAGCGTAAAATGAACATTTAGTCCTATGCTCGTAAGAGGACTGAAATGCTTTCGCCACTGAACACCACCTTTGGTGCATGAAACACTGGACCTCGTTGGCCTACTTTGCCCCAAGGACAGTGATTTTACTGACTCCACATAAGAGATGAGACAGCGAAACAGTGGAACTAACGGCTGAAACCCTGGAGTGAGTAATCATTATCCAGGGACTTTTCGCAAAGAAAACACTCGTGGTTGCTTGCATCTGTGCTCCGACTTCTCGAAGCAATTGACCTTCGAGAAATCACTGAGAGACTACAGCTAAAACTAAGGCTGACAATGCCCAGACTGGTAGCCGGCATGTGGCACTCAAGCGCTGTGAACAAATACGCACTCCCACCCACCGAATGACGGACGGCGCTCCATGCACTAATTGACGGGCGTTCGATGGTGCATAGTAGAGTCCTGGAAGCTCAGTTGTCTAATTTTGAATGTCACCGTGTGTCTATGTAGATATTCGTATGTTGAGTACTTATAGGTCTCGCAGGTAATGCGTCGCTGTCTATTGGTGTTCCTGTGTCTTTTATATAGGAGTAAGTACTACCTGTGCATGTTTTGTACTGAATCTGAGTCTAAAGTACAATTGGAACTGGCATCGAATAACGTGGTTGACGGTGACATTGTCTATGTGTAGTACTGAAGCTGTTCAGTTCTCTGCTTTGTGAAGGCCTATCGCATTTTAGTGATTTATATGGTTGGATACCGGTCCACTTCTCGGTCGATAAGGCGAACTTCTATTCTAGTCCATTGTTTACGTTGACAGTCATTTGTTCAGTTTCAAGAGTACACGTGGTAGTGGATCTTACTATGGTGTGCACATAGGCTCTAACAGTGTTTTATGTGTAGTGGTGCTGGTCGGTTCTGTTCGTTATCAGCTCTGCTAAGCAGTTAGGTATTGATTGGTTGCCACTGATTTCGATCACTCGTTAATCGGCACACCGTGAATGACAAGTGGTCCTTTAGCGTACTGAACAACTAATTCCAGGTTGGTTGAATCTGTTCTACCAACCAGCTGACATTGCGACACTTCACAACATGCGAAAAGCAAGCGAAAGCTAACTTCTGAGAGGTACCATCAGCTATGAAAGTACCTGTGATAACTGCACCTCAGCAGGATATCAAATCCTTACTGAAGCAGGTAACCGACTGTTTTTAGATACAAGATCTAATCCCTCATGTTAAAATTGCATAGTTTTTTTTCGTTTACATTGGTTTTGTCCTAAGTCACAAAGGTGCATATTTTAGATAAACACCAGGGACAAGGTCCCGAAAGACGTCCGCATTCAAGCATGTCATGAGCTCTTTCGCTGCTTGACATGTGCTGATCACAGCATTGTTGTAAGAGTTGTTCTTGTATTCCTTTCTAGGCTTTCTTCAGTTCAGTGGTTCACATGTGTTGCAGAATATTAAAAACGACAGGAAAGACATCCTTGGAGAGTTAGCGGCAGTGATCCATCCAAAGTATGGAAGTTTAGAAGTCAAAAAGTGGTGCGGTCGTATTGCAGGGGTAGTTGGAGCGAACCTAGTTGATGAATTCGATGAGTAAGTTCTATAAATTTATCCGTTTCTTCGTTCTTTAATAGCTTCCCTAGCTTTGGTCGTCCGAGGTGCCCATCCTCTTTATTGTTATTTTACGAGTGAAAGTGATTCGAACTAGTCGGTATCTATTTATTCACACCTGTGACGCTTTAGAGGTCCACAATGTGTTACGCTCACTCATGGAAGACGAATGACACCACAGTTCTGTAGTTGAGTAGCTTTTGTTTAAACTGTTTCTGGCGAAAGAGTACCCGTGATTAGCTCGTTGCCTTATACCTTCAGAAATGGTTATGTTTTCTTCGTAGCGAGTTGTGCTGTTCCACTCTACACACAGAGCTATGTTTGGAGCTCCTCCAAGTCTATCTGCCTTGTGATTTCCAGTTAATTAGAAGCATGTTTTTTGATGGGTCAGTGTGCGGGATACAACCTACCTACACTTGGATACTGGCATGGCCCGTATTCACTGGTTCAGCGGCCCTAGCACAATTTCCATTTTTCGGAGTTTTGCTGGTTTGTCCACTGTGTTTCCCTGGAGTCCCAGTTCACCCTGGCCAATCTTCCCTAGGTCGTCACCACCGCAGGCAGTCGCCGCCTTTGTGGATAAGAGGGAGATTTGCCACCATGCGACTAGTTTCATACCAGGACTGTGGTGGTTCCTGGTATTGGTTTACTCTTAGCTGGGTTTCCGAGTCCCTCTTCTGTACATCGCAGCCCAACATTTCCCAGCAACGGTGTGGCGGTAAACCGTTGTGAGGTTGTGAAGTTATATAGTAAGTAGATGGAAAAAGAGAGAAGACTTTTGAGAGAAGCATTGATGTTAGTGAACTCTAAGTTTTTTATTCTTAGGCTTACTAAGTTACAGATATCGTGTGATATCCCAAAGTTTCATACTTACGCAATAAATTTTGTTTGTGGATTAAAAGTGTCTCTCTCTCTCATTGAAAGCTAAACGTTTGGGACGAGAGTAAGAATTTGTCAGTTGAACAACCTCAAAAAGCAGGGATCATATAGGGTTTTGCAAATAGGAAAGATGAACTTAAGGTGAGAACTCACTTTTTGCGATTCGGAATTATTTGCAATGTTTCGTTCAACAGTGGTGAAATATTAGAACTGTCAAATAGTCTACCACCTAATCGTGACTGGGGTACGTCTTTTAGTGTCTAATTGAGATATTCAGAGGAAGATTTATCCTTTGTGGAGGGTCTCTCAAATTGAGGAGTTCGACCCCAAATGCCTATCTAAGAGTAAACCAACGCCAGCAATCATCAGCTCCTTGGTAACAGCGAATTCAAATGGAGTCAAACCTTCCTCAGCTTTCGAAGCTCAGGTGACTGCTGGTGTTGCCGAGGTAAAAAAGATCTTTCTCGAAATATTGGATGTGGTGAGTCTCGTACGTTCATGAAGGCGGCTCATTTCGGTGCTCCCATCAAGAAGGTAATGCTGTGGATTAAAATAACTTTCTTATTGAATGTTTTTAACAACAAATGTGAAATTGACAAGCATGTTTCTTCCGTTACAGTAGACAGTATTCAGTTATGGTAATTGTTTTTAATAGTTTGAATTTTACGTCAATCCATGCACAAGTGGTGTTACCAAAGTGGTTGTTACATCGCTACGAGACATCACTATTCTAGGTTCGTTAAATGGACGGAAACGCAGCTGAAATGTGCCAGACCGGTTGCGGAGGAAGAGCAAGCGATTTTCGTTTCTGCACTACGTTATGCTTTGGTGGAGCTGAAGTCGCGAAAAATTCGTTTGTCGGATTACTTCGCTAAGGTGGTTCACTACACGATTGAAGCAATTCATCAGCGTACAATTGAATGTGTTTTTTATTGATTAACGAAGTCCTTTTTTCTGTTTCAGTGTGTATTGAAAATTCTTGCCGAGTTTCTCGACTTTTCTAACTCTCATCTCGTTTTCTTCCCCATTCTCGATGTGTGTCGTGAGATGGCCGAGGAATATCCACCAGTGTTTGATGAGTGTTTTGAGGTATGATTGCCATTCACTGTTCTATCAAAGTAGGTCTTAAAGCTGTTGCTTTTTTCTGCACTGAGCGAACCAAATTGAATGCTGCTTTGCGTTCAACGAGAGTTGTATTAGTTGGCATTACCGCCTTCCTGTCTTTGCCTCTTTTGAAGTTTTAGTTCGTTTGCATTACTCTGTTAAATATAATTGTTCGAAAGCATTTTCTTTTTCTGGTACCTTAGGCATAGCTCGCATTTATCATTTTCCCACGTACCGAAAAACCGTGCTGACAACATTTTTAGCTAGTTGGGATTTTCATTCTATTAAGGAAATCGTTGACTATTTATTCGGTTGGGCTCTGGAGTCATCGATGCCGTCAACTGTTCCGAAAAAATGTCATGAAGTCATCAAATCTCTCTTTCCTTTCTGGCATAAGCGGCCTGAATTTGGTCATCATTTGATGTTGCAATTTTTGGACGATGTTGGAGGATATATTGAGGTTGGTTTTCTTTGGTGGAGTACAGTTTGCATACATTAGAGGTGTAATTTTTGTTTTCTTTCCAGGACTATAAAAAACATGGAAGTTTGCGTACCTGTGTCAGCAAAGCCTGTGCAGTTCTCGAAATTCTCATTGTATTACTTGAAGTGTATGTGCAGGACCGAAATAGTGTGCATCAGTTTTGTTGGGATATACTACAACAGGTATCCATTACTAATAATTCCATGTCTTTAGAAGTGTGGATGTTTAGTTTTTAGACTTTAACATCCTGCAACTCTAATATGAATCGCTTGGGAACCGAACCATCGTTCCGTGTTGGCCTGTTTCTGTCCGAGTATTGTGGAATTTTTTCCACTGCCTTGTCGCTAGTAACTCCACAGGTTGGACATTTTATAGTTTGAATTTGAATTTTGAGTTTAAATTTCAGAGCTCTGGAGACGCTAGAACATCTTATTTATTGTCTATCCAGAATCTTTCCATCATCGCTCAATGTTCCACGAAAGTAACTGAAATAATGCACAAATTTGGGTCAAATGAGACAGTCGCAATCAACTGCATCAAGTATTTTACAGCGGTATCCTTACTCACCTTGTTTTCCGTATTCCATGTGTTTATGCGTAACATTTTAGCTCTTTTCTGTATCATCCCTACCGGCCGAATTTACTTTGCCGCTTAGTGGAAAACTAGGAATCTTGGACGAAAAGCCTGTTTTCCAGCTGTCATTATACGGAAGGTTTGTGTTGGTTTCAGATACAATGGGAGGACTTTTTCTTCCAGATTATATATCATTTTTTCATTTAGTTATGGTGTACATTTTTCTCCATAGCTTATTCTGCCTTTAAACATGGAAATAGTTTAGACATCCAACTTCAAGCAAATATATCTAAGTTCATAATGAACTTTGCCAATTGAGATAGAAAGTCCTAAACTCTTCACGAGCGATGTGTACGCTCTGTAGTTCTGCCACTGTGAGGTTCTGATCTCCTGGAACACATAAATGGTTTTGTGTTCCACATTTTGTTCTCGGTTTCTGTCTTTGTTGACAATTTTGAAAATTTTCGTTTTTTTTTCAAACTTCTAGAAAACCTGGTTTAAAAATTGCAAGGTTACAGCGATAATTTTAGAAATACCGTGTATACTGCGTGCACCTTTGCTGTCCTGCATCAAATTCTCTCCATAAGTTTTATCACATTCTCTTTATTCAAAACCAGAAGTTAAGTCCTGTTTATCGAAAAATTATGGCAGTTGTAAAACTAGCACTGGAACAGCACTTTGTTTTTTATTCTGTATAACAGCGTTGATTAACTGACGTGATGGAAAATTTTTGGATAAGGCTGTTCATTCTGGCCTCTCTTAACAGCCAAACCTTTTTGTTTGAAACTCTCACCAAGATGGATTCATTCATTGGACTTTTTTGCAAGGGTATAAGTCTGTGGAACATGGTGAATTTCTGTGATAGACGTCTAGACATTAAAATAAATAGCTTAAGTGGTCATTTAATTAAGTTTTTACGTTTTTTTCCTGTTTATGTATTTTGAGTTACGAACGGTTTTAGACCAAGACAAGCATCTGCAGTGCTTTCCCTTCTCACGTGCATGATGTCTCCATCCGTTTTACCGTTGCTTCTAGCATCGTACTCTGCAGTAAGGCAAAAACTATTAGGTGAGGGTGGATTAGCAAAATTTCATTTTTTTTATTAATAAAGGATGTTCGAAGACCATTGCGGACGGTACATGTTCCCTCCTCGTATCCACGTGGGAACGCCTTCACCCGGCTATCTCCAAGATTGCAAGGAGAATTAACTCGACCAGCATTCTGCGACATTCATAAAGAAGACGAAGCATAAGCCGAAAGAATGTGGTAAATTTTCGGGCACCATTTTGGGCGATGAATCAGGAAAACGAACCGAGCGCAAGAAGTGCTGGGATCCGCACCGTAGATGTGACGATGTTTCATGTAAAATGAATTAAAAAAGTGAGAAAGAGGATGTTATGTTGATATTTAAGACTTTGTTTACTACTCTACTGACATTGTTTTTTATCGTTGTAAGCTCGTCAATTTCGAAATTATAGTCGAAGTTGCTTCTCTTCGTGAACGGGATGACATGGAATTAGCGTTGAAACGAGAAACGATAGCATGGTTTATGATTCTCATTGGTTCTTTTGCCAAATTAGCGGCCTTAAAAAGTAGTCTGATAGTGGTAAGCTTGATTTTCCCTAAGCCAGGTTTTCTTGAGGTTTTACTTTCTTAGTTCTATTATATTTAACCAATATAATTCGTAGATGATGGGACTACGTCCTTCTTTATTCCATCTTCTACTTATCGAAATGCCATTAACTGATCAATGGTTTATTTCCAAGCATCCCGCACTCCACCACTGCCTGCTAAGTATAGTCCATACGCACGTTATGTCGTAGGTTACTTTTTCGTTCAGAAGTGATATTGCGAGGAACGTATTGTATTTCAGCCACGATTATTTTCTTTCGAACTCAAATTGGCTTGTGCAAAGCAATTCTCCCAGTTGTATGTATGCTGAAGAGCAGCTACAAGCTATTGATCGTCTTCTCAACTCTCGAATCAAATGGACTGCGACTAGGTATATGTGTGAAGTTAAAGAGTGTTTTGTACTAATTCATAAATTCAGAGAGCTCTGTGTGGACTGGCTTTATGGACTTTTATCGGGTATTGACGAAAATATAATAGAAACTCTGTGTTGCCGTCCTGAATTTGTGAGCATTCGCAGCACTATTTTGGCAGCAATTATAAATGGAGAATTATACGGAAAGTATGAGTTCTATATTTCATTCTATATGATTCTAACAAATAGTGCTTTGTTTGTCTTGTGTAATCAGCAGAAGTAGACCGATACATCGTTTAGGCTTCAAGCTGTAGCAGTTCAGTTGAACGTGCTAAGTGCTACTGATGATAAGAATGCTGCAGCAGTGACAAAGTCTGTTGCATCAAAGGTTGGCTGTGAAGTATAGCATTTCTCTATGTAGCACTACACAAACATTGTTCGATTGAATTTATTTCAGCTGAAAGCTGTAGGATATCACGCAGGTGCCGCCATATGGGCCAGCATGGATATGCAGACTTATCTGAGGTACCTATGTTGTAATAAATACTGGGATGTTTTCTCAGATTTTGTCTCGTGAGTTTACTTAAATAAACCAACTATACGTATTCAGTAATTCTTTTCTGTTGCTTGAATGAGCCATACTGCTTTTTTCTTTTTTCCTCTTTTGATCTTATTTGGTCTGATAAGTAGCATTCTAATTATTTGCGATATTTTATTGTCGCTGTAATTGAGACTTTACTAAGACCGAACCAGCCTTGTTTTGATTTTTTACGATTTTCGTTCCTACAAAGTAGTTTGCTCTTGTTTAGACATCGTTCTGACTTTAGCGCCCTCATTATACGCAGTTTTTTCTTACTTGAAACTTAACCTATCGGATTGATTTGTCGGTTAGAAGACGCAAATCGCGCATCATCTACCGCAAAAATTCATTCGAATTCTAAATCCCGTTGTTGATTGCTTTGACCTGGATTCACAGTATTGATTTATGAGCATGAGAAGATCCACGTAATCTACTACAAAAATTCATTTGGGAGGAGTATAAAGGACGGATGTGGCAAGTGAACAAGAGATATACATATGTAAATTGTGCGCTGGGTTTGCCGGATCCGATCACCAGTGTGGGCAAGAATCTTCTTCAGCCTAGTTGAAAATCAAGCGTTCGAAAAGAAACAGGGTGCATTTCGAACACTAGTGAAACACTGATGACGAATGTAAGGCCTAATAAAAATGCGAAGAATCTTGGGTGATTATTGGCTAAAATTCATTTCCATTGAGCGTACTTCATGATCGTATGTGGAAGAGATAGAGTTGGGTGCTTGATGCATTGGGAAGTGAAATATTTGATGTACAGGTTATTTTCTTCTTTATATAGTGCTGTCTTCTGTTCTATTTCTAAAACTGCGACAAAAATGGGCTTCAAAATACCCACCACCATTATTCGTACTAATGAGCAACGTTGTTTATACAAAAGATTGGTTTAAATGGGTTACATCGTGTCCCAAGAACCGAGTTCTTCAGATGTCAAAGCTCTGTCGTTTGGCTCTTTCGTAGTTATGAAAAAAGGCTGCACGGTAGTGATTGTCATTCAATTGGTAGTGTTCTTTAATGGTGCAAATTTTTTCCATTCACCAATACTTTCCAATACTTTGAACAACCACCGCAATATAACGTATTGTAATAGGTTGTCCAAGCACCCTTATAATTCGTATCAAAAGCTTAATGGAAAGAATCAACACTATATCGGCAAAGCTGAGCACAGTAGCACTATGGTCGACTGGGAAATCGCAGTAATAGGATAGTCAACTAACATGATAAGTAAACGTAAGAAAAAAACTTCTTCCTCATGTGCTCTTCGACGAATTTTTCCTTATTTTCGAATAGAATCTTCGAGACAGACATGAGACATGAATAGACTTAACGAAACAGGAACAAGGTGTAACTGAAAATTAATTGGGAAGTCCATTTTATTAAGAACTCTTGTTATGAAGAAAAACGACAACTAACCGCAGAGACTGCATGGCATACATACCCTTCATATCTTTGATTTATAGATGCCACAGTAGACTGCACGAGTCATGTAGGACTCATCATTTTTCTAATTGTTTATTTTGCCACATTTTTGGAAAATGCTCTTTGTCTTTATTCCATATTTTTCTTAGCACAGATGTACCAATGTGCTCTTCATCTTTCGAGAAAACAGTTGTCTCTGCAAATAATTCACAAAAGACCGTTTTTTGTTGACGCAAATCCGATGCGAGCCACAAGTGATTGGGAGCGCACGGAGAAGAAATCACACATCGTCCACTGCCACACAAAATTAGGTATCGTCACGAGTATGTCAAAGAGTATGACATTGCACTTCTTTCTAACGTCAAGGCTATAAACGATAGATTCACTAAATACTAATTGTTTCCACTAAATAATGCATAGTATTGAGATCCTCATTATTGTCAGTGCAACTGGAGATGGTGAAATTCTAACTGTTTATGCTTGAATTATTGGGGAAATAATGAGAAACACTTGGGCGTTGTCTCCTTGCAGTTATTTGATCGTTGAATGTTTTATTGTTCTGTCATGATATCACCAATCAACCATGTTAACTATTTTCTCCGTAGCCATCAAAACGCAATAGTTTATGGTTTTTTCCGTTGTCACAAATTCAATAATACGTTCGATAGATCGAATGACGGCAAGAACTCACCTTGTCATCATAACAGCGCCTGACCATCATCAAGAACTCGTTTGGGTTTTGATAAAGTTCCCGGTGCCGCTCACCCTCGCTAACTTTTTATTTCACTGGTACTCGATGGTGTTTATCAAGCTGAAATGCGTCATATTGAAAATTGTAGTGGTGGTGCAAATGTTACCTTGGCGATGAAATTTCCGCCTTTGTATTATAAGCCGGCCCAATCTTTCTACATGGAGTTGACAGAATGGTTAGTTCTTCATCGTATGATCTTCATGATACCATTCAGGCCAAAATCTACATTTATTGCGCCATTGAATGTATAAATAATGAAGTGAAGTATTCAAAAGACTTAGTGCTCCGAAGTAGTTTTTATTAACAGGTGCTGTTTGCTGTTCATATGATTCCATCCAAGAATTCATTGTTAACGCATGGGTGATTTGATGAAGTAAGTGTTATGAGGTTGTGGATCAATGATTATAATCTCCTCAAAAAATTTACCGTGATTTTTTGGCTAGTGATTGATTTCTTGACCGCACATTTTAAATGCTTAGTTCCGTAAGTACGAAAATTCGGTTTATTGTACGCTTGTTGATGCGCTCCTTGAGTTCCTTCATTTATTGAGTTCGATATCAAGTGTTGTATCGATCATCCAAGGAGTATCTACGACAGCGGATCGTTTCTTCCAGTAGTGAAGATGAAGATGAGTTTGAAAAATTCCTGCTCGACAAATTTCTTTGGTTTGTTACACCGCTCTCAATATTCTCAATACATTGGTCGTTTAATCTCGTTAATCGCTGCTATTTTGAGACAGTCCTAGTCACAAGGTAGCGAAAGCCATTTCGTGTACAAGGGCAGGCGTTGACGTTGGTGAGGACTTTGCAATGGTCTAGCCAGGTTCGCATGGCAGTAAGCCTTGTTCCGATCTACGAAGGCATGAAGTCTGTTTGTGGAAATATCAGACCGATCTAACATGGTTCCATGATTCCAGGTGGAACCACTCTCAATACGTAGCTTTCGTCCATTTCCTTCCATTTTCGCTCTTGCTCTGGCAACGTATTCCTCTTTCATTTTCTTGTCCTTGTATTCTATCGAGATCCACTTTATTGTTCTGCTCGTTTTATCCTCTTACAATTAGATGGCCGGTCCATTGGTGATTTTTTTCCTGAGATCTGTTCTGTATGTCTTGAAGACTGTAAATTCTTTGAATGATTTTTGAATTTGACAGATTTAGACGCAAAAACTGGTTTGATGTTGACTATGCCGGTTCATCCTCAGAAGACGTCCGTCAGGGGTCCTTGTGCCGTGCGCAACGTCTTCAGTAAGGCTGAGATATCAACCCATGTTTCTTCTGCATAGCATAGAGATGGAAAAATTGTTGCATGAAATAAGAGAGTTGGTAGGTCAGTGAATTTGACAGTTATCTCTGTCGGATGCTCCATCGCGACGCTTGGTGCTCATTATCATCTATTGAATTCTGTCAAGTCGTCAATGCATTGAACGTTCCAAGTATACGTAGTATTTGCTAACCCTAAGTGTCGATCCATTGATAATAGTCGTCTTTTACAACAGATGTCCATCATGAATAAGGGTTTTCTTCGAGTAATTTACGGTCCAGTTTTTCCATTTTTCACTGAGCTCAGTAAGTATTCTCTCTGCTTCTATAGTAGTGCCCAAGAAGATGACAATTTCGTCGGAAAAGTAAAGGTTGAAGAGAAGTCGCCCATCAACACGTATCCCAATATTGTACAAGTGATCGCATACAGCTCAGCGTGGCGCAGAGCAGCTTGGGCGATATCTCTTACTATTCGTACTCCTTCTCCAATTAGCATCAATAAAAAAGCTGTGTCGTCGTTTTGCAATAATGTCTATGCCTTAGTCTATTAACACATGACGGTATTGGTCTCACAGTTTATTGTGATGAATTTCTCTACGTAGTAAACGGAAAAATGCTTTAAAAAAGTACTTGGTAGGTTTTTTGAGCACAAAATGATTTAGGGATAGCTTTTTGCTTTAATCTAGTAAAGGTTCTGAGATATTTGCAAAACTCCGGACCGCAGGTGTCTCCGGTTGGGAACGAACGAGGTATTACCGTAAGATTAAGGATAAAAGCGTGTTTGTTTCTCACCGCAAACACCTGCGTTCCGGAGTTTTGCAAATATCTCAGCATCATTGTGTTTGTGTTTGGCATTACACCTTGCCATGTAAAAATTATAGTAGGCAGCAAAAAAAAGTTGGCATTAGTAAAGATTGTTGTATAGCTGAGTCGGTAATATTTTTCAGTGTTAGTCATAAATTGCCGGGTGTATAGCCAAAGTGATTATTTTTTTTCTGGCGAGAAAGAATAAAAGAAGGCAAATGTGACAGTACATGTTCCTCGAGCAACCCGGACCCATTGAGCAGTTACAATGTTGTCGTGGGCCAGTGGGAACCTCACCGATATCAACCCAAGTTTGCCCAAGTTCGTGTTAAAATGATTGTAGAATGCCTCTTCAGTTATGTAGTCTTTTTTCCACAGTTGATTTATCATTTTTCGTTGCTAAGTGTGGCACAGAAAAGAGCTCTTGTTGTCAGGCGTCTAGCGCAGTGATTTTTTTGGTCGTGAACTATGATTCATTTGTGACTCGTGTTGGCGAGTACTGTCAGGACAGTGCGGTCAAGTAGCTTGTCATTAACAAAAGTTTTAAGTCAACTCGCTGGTGCGGATAGTAAAAAGATGCTACTGAATTCTTACACTTGTAACTACGCGCCAGTAACATCTTAGTACCTTCTTCATCAGCAATGGTCTCTCGTCACCTCATTCAATAAGACATCAAAACTCAGACTAAAAACAGTTTTTTTTTAATTGCTTGCATAAATTAGCCATTGTCGACTTACTCTTGGCCGAATATCTCTGTAGGAGATGTCGTTTGAATACGAAAAGTATGACAAAAAAAATCTTAGAAGTTGTCGGAAAGATCACGGCATGTTTTACTCAAACATATCTCTGCTCAGAATGAACTGAATTCATTTGATGAAAATCGGTAGAATATAGATCTTTGAAAACTAAAACCAGCTTTGTTTTTCCACCTAGAGGTGAAAACTTCTAGAGCGCACGAAACCTGTTTCTCAATCTCTTTGGTGGAAATTCATTTTCCGAACATCAGAACAGTTGAACAGACGAGATTTCGTTGAGTGGAACACAGTGGTGTTCCTAACTACGTAGTTGTTTGCGACTGCCACACTTGCGTTCGAGCTTTCAGGACTTTGAGTTCCGTTTTTTTTATGCTTCTAGTTTTAAGCAACGCAAAAACTGGTCTATATTTGGCAACCGCTTAGGTTCCGCTGAAAGTTGGACGAAGACGAAGCTTCTAAGCATTTATGAAGGCAGATACGCCTTTAATTTACCTTTGCATCATGAGTTCTTGCGAACTCATTGCAGAACACTATTGTCGGAAAATTTATCAAGTTCGTTAAGGACTTGAACATCTAAGCCGGCAATAAGAACTCGTGAAGAACCAGTCTTACTGAGCGTTGCACAGCAAATAGTAGTTCGAAAGAGCAAGAAATTATGGTGCGACTCTTTGTCTAATCAAACGTGAAACCACTCGTCAACTCACCTTTTTCAAATGCTAAAACCGCTTTTTGCTAAAGAAGTTTCCACAGTAACTAAGCCACTTTTTAAACTGCATTTGAGAGATTCGTGTGCTTAAGTAGCTGTGAAGCAAATATATGTAAAAGACATGAAATTTTTGTTTCGGCAAATAGTTTAATTGTGAATAAGGCAAATGTATTTGGGGCTGTTGGGAGAAAAGTGACTCCACTTCTATATTTTTTTTGTTTTATCGATCATTGAAACATCTATTTCTGGTTTCCGGCATGACGACGTTATCACTAATCACGCACTCAGATCTTTTCCTGTTAATGATTAGCTGGCTCTACCCCAACATACGTACATATGTTGAGACGTGTGTAGCGCAGTGGCTAGAAGCGTCATGCAATATTCATGGGTTCGATCCCGTGCCTAGGGCCCATCAACCCTTCCATCCCTCCGCGATCTGTAAATTGGTACCGGACTTCTCTGGGAAGATAGCACCATTGACTCAAAACATAGGTAGGCCGCCGTGAGTCATGAGAAAGGCCAGATATGCGTTCAACCACCTCCAACGATGCGTGGCATGGCGCATCCTCAGCGATTGATCAGCATATCTTTTATGTAGATGTCCTTTATCTTTTATGTAGATGTCTATATTAACAGTTCCATATATAAATATATGCTTACTTATGTATATATATGTGTATATATATATATGTGTGCGTATATATACATATATATTTTGCAAAGATGTTTATGTTATATACATGTTTATATATATATATATATAATTTTCTTTATATTTTTACCATTTCAAATTGTAAACGTTTCGTAGAATATAAATTCTTAGTTATGTTTTTTTTTAGCGACTGTTACATCGCTAAGAGAGACTTTTTTCAAGCCTCGTTCCGTGATTTAGTTGTAGCTTCTTTCAAATCACAGTTCCAACTTCGGTGATCCGGTCTTTAATTGCAGTGGCGTTTTTGCTTCTGATGCTGTCATTTGTGCCTTATTCCTAAATATATGGAGTCCCTTTCTAACACGTTCTCTTCGAGACCCAAATTAGTATGCAAGTGTTATTTCTGTTAAATTTATTATATCTGTAGGTGTAGCCTATGTACCGCTGGATGGGATCAGCTGGAAATGGGCCAATTTCGATTGCAATCGTCTTCATTCGGAACCGATGATTTCATGACGATAATTAAATTTCTTATCGATGGAATCGTCCCTTCAATGCAAAGAAATCAGTGGGTGAATGTAAAGCAAATGAATTTAACAAAATAGCAAACTCATTATGCTTTTCGTTATCAACATCACTGGATAGTATTCCTATGCATGTGTGCTATCATGTCATTTGATGGGATAGGGTGCTTTTACATATTACAGAAGTAACGATGATGAGTGGATGGTCGACGTAATTGAGAAGCTTTATGCCGAACGAATACAGGATGATACCATCAGCAGAGGTGAAATGGATAGGCATTTAGATGTTATGCAGGTGTGCTTTAACCTATATTTTCTTTCGCAGAACGGTCATCTTAGTTTTATTCCACTGAATCGTCTTATATAGTCAGTTTTATCTCACTGGAGCGTCAACTACATTGCAACTCAGACTAATTAGTTACCGTTTTCTTCTTTTTTTTTTTTTAAAGAGGTGGCGTCGACTGTTAACCCATGCTGCTAATTACTGCATCGAGAATCGCATGAAAACTCCTCTGGGAAAGCCCATGGACACATTCAATAAGCTTGGCGGTTTGTATGAATACACTTCCAGTATTTGTTATTTATCCTTTCTTGAAGTTTGTCAATATTTTTCAGTCAAAGCTAGTTTTTATGTATCAGCTGTACTTAAGGAGAATTACTACGGTTGGCCAAAGAAGTTGTTTCCGGAGTTTCATCTCAGGCTGCCAAAGTTAATCACAACCGCCCTAGTGTGATGTTATCAAAAGATAGGGGAACAAAGGATGTTGAGGATGGTCTGAGTGTTGGAGAACCAAGGTGAGCTATCGAATTTTCGTTCACTGATTTCCACCACCACCTTCCTTTCTACTATATTGATTAAGTATTATGATTAGTTATGTATTCAAATATTTCTATACGTGCCTTGTTATATTTATTGTAGTTTTAAGATCTATATCACCTGCTGAGGAATGGTGGCGTGTGAGATGTCTCCTGGAATTCGTAGAGGTACATCTCATTCTTCTTCTTAACCGATCAGATTAGTGTCCATTATGCGTTTACATTCCTACACCTGCTATAATTCGCAGTAGTACTCCTTTCCTTTGCAGATATTTGAGAAGTTAATATTCTATGTCAGCAGTGGGACTATGTTTCCAATCTGCAATGTTTCAGTGGTACGTATTACCTTGTCGTAATTACTAGAACATTCCACTTAGTTATTTCTCTCGATTTTTTATTTCGTTTTCGTTCCCGCCAGCCATGTACCTATCTTTTATATCTTTATAATCAGGTGTAGTATGAAGAACACTTTTAGTTGTCTCGACAGTTCTTTGCGACAAATATGGTTAGCTGTCAGGAATGGCTGTTCAGAACATATCCTGTTGCAATGATCGTTGCATATCATAACGGATATTATGCACAGGTTTAAGAGTTTTACGATTGTTTATGGTTTCTTAATTCTTTGTGACCGAAAAATCCATAATGTTAATGCTGTCGTTTCAGGTTATTCGCCTTGGTGCGTCGGCTCTTCCCGACCTTGAGAGAAAACAGTTGAAAACTGAAAGTGGGTCAACGGGAGGTGATTAGAGTTTTTTTCCCTTTTTTTTTTGAAAACTGGGCTTCCATTTATTTTTTTTAAGTTCGTGAGCGAACGAAACAGGAAAAAAGATGATTGAGGTAGAGTAAATGAATAAATAGTTGTAGAAATAATCTTAGTCAGGTTCCATTACAAGCGGCAACATGATATTCTACCGCGGAGTAGAAAAGTAATAACCGATTCTTAATAGCCACTTTGAATTCCTCTAATTAAGTTCAGTAAATGTCTTCAAGGATAGCTAGAATATACACATTTTCGTTTGGAAGGTGCAAAATCTTTTTTTAAAGATTTAATGCAGCGCTAAAATTTTGGAAGCTACGAAACTATCAAAAGCGTTTTCAATAGCGGTTTGATCATAGAACTTATTCTGTGCTAATTGTTGGGACGCGCAGGAAAGTAGTAATTGGTTAGTGAATAACTCAATAAGGCATGATTTTCTAGCCGAATTCGTTTGGCCTCTGCAATATAATTTGTTCAATGTGTGGTCGAGCTTTTCTGTGCGAGAAGAATGAACAGTTCTTTAACACTTTTTAAGTTCACGCGCTGCAGTTTTTTTTCTGGAACTTCATCGATTTCGTAACAGTACTTCTCTATTGTGATCGTTTCGTTATGATCAAAACACTTATTGAATGATCCATCGGGAGAAAACGAAGACATTGTCATAGCATTTCATCGCACGTATTAGTGCGTCCGAGAAATGGCTCGTTTTGTCTTATAAAAGGACTACAGAACAGGCTTTGTGACGGCGTTCCAGTTACCATTCTTCCAATTCGTGCAGCAAAGATTTATCGAGTTTTTTCACCTTTCCCCTCCTTTCCAGATTACAACCGGTTGTTTATTTTTGGAGGTTTTCTGAAACCACTTTCCTGGTTTTTTGTTAAGCTTCTACTACGAGCTCTTTATGCTCGTCGTCAATTGTTAATCGGCATCCGCGACATGCTTCGGATGGAGAGCCATATTTCCCGTCTGAAAATATGCGAAGTATCTACACATTGCACTGTAAAGGGCTTTCCTAGTCTGATGATCTATTAGCAATTCCAGCTAGTTCTTCGGAAGAATTTCCAAGTTTGGTCTTATGAAGCAGAACGACTTCCGTACTTCGAGAACATCATTTCAGTAAGCCTAAAATCCTTGTGAATTAAATACTAGAGAAAATTGTTACATGATGGATATTCAAACATACCACAGGCTTTGAAAGTGTACACAGCAGTTATATCACCTGTTTCACCTGTCTTTCCGTTGATCGTCGACTGACTCGAGCGGGCGCCACTAGAACTACTATTTCTCTCTGCTGCGTGCGGGAGTAGCCCAGTGGGTTTGCCTCACTCTAGAAACTCGTTGAGCATCATGTTTTTTTTCTAGGGTTTTCGTGAAAATCTCTAACCATCAGATCGGTGGTCTTACTGAAGTGCGTTTGACATCCCGTGGAATCCAGTCCCTAACGGCACTTGCCCATCGGTTCTCATTAATACGCATTCGTATCTGGTCTACCTTATCTTCGACAATTTGGCGTATAGAATAGAGTCTTTAATTTTTGGTCGTTGGCGTAGGTCGGTGCTTCGGATCCCCTCTCTCATTTGCGCGATTGGAGATGTTCATAGCATGGTCCTTTCTACTGAGTGTTTGATAGCGCGGAACCCTCTTTCATCCTGCTTACGTAGCCACTAGATTTCTGACTCATACATCAAGGCAGGAAAAACCGTGGAGTCGAGAAGGTGAGCACGGAGTCGGGTGTTGTTCTCTTCGCTACGGTACTTCTCCTTCCTCGGTAGTCTTTAAAACTCTCAAGCCCAGCATTTTCTTCTGCTCAACTTTGGAACTAAGTCTTTCATCATGTTGATTTCCCGACCCAGACAGACGCTGCTGGAGTGTTCGGATATATTCTTTCGTTTGAACGTGAATGGGGCATACAAAACCAATTTGTTCTTCATGAACATTGTTTTTGTGAAGCGTAGTCTGACTTTTAAATATAAGAGCGATGTCATCCGCAGTTCATGGAGTTGTATTTTAAATTTGAGATGGAAATCAACATTACCCATCGGTTTGTCAAGTCGCCACGAGGCCTTGTCTGCTGATTTCACCAAGAACTTTTGTGTAATGGAGGACATGATTTATTTTGCCGGTCAAGTTTCTCCAAAGTTATTGGTTTGGTAGATTTTGTTTTTTCAACTAACCCCAAAGAATAAATCCTTCCACGACCACATGTATCCCCAACTGCACTCCAAGAACACTCCATTCGATGAGTAGGCAATACGAAAAACGAGGTAGTGATTGGGTTGTTCTTCTATTGTGACAATTATTTAGTGCACAAGTTTGTTCAAAGCTGATTCTCTTTTAATATTCTCATGCAGATACTTTTTGATCAGTTAACGTACTTTTTGGTTGCATAACACTTTTACGACCTTTCGTAGTCAATCGATGGCTTATCGAACACAGAGTTCATACTGAGCTGTTTCATGGATAGGTATTCTCAGCTACACTTGCAAAAGCCGTTTTGGGCAGTGGAGTGGAATCGATGGATGTGAAAGAAAATAACGTAAAGGAGACAGAAAAACATTTCAACCACCACACAAAATCATGCGGAAAGCTAAAAACATCATGCTTGGCTAATGAACGAATTTTTTCATCACGTTCAAGAGGTGTCCAAGAACATGGGAACATACTCAGAAGGACGGTGCGAATATTTAGAAGTTAGAGAGTCATGGAAAAATTATGAAGGAACCGAACAATGTAACGACTATCTCAAGAAATCAGTGCCTCGTTCCCCCTGCGCTGGCTCACAGACTGCATATCTTCATTTCATTGCGCGTCTCAGTTCTCCAATGACAGGTGGTCGTGAAACAATTAAATCGAGGGTTCTGGCTGGCCATCCATGCGGTTCACGGCGACTCATCAGTCTCCCAAGGAAGTGGGTATTCAACCATTCACGAACAACTGAAGCAATATATACACGAACACCTTGCATTAAAATCAATTCTTCAATATTCTCCCAAGGTCCTCCACATTCGCACTTTAACAATGGGTCTTCAAACTTCGTAGCGCGCAGATGGCTGATCCCGGTCTTGCTTGCGAAGGCATCCGGCCATGTTTGTAGGGCTTCAAAATTTCAAATAAATAATCGATCTATAAAAGCAACAGCATCGATATTTTATTTTTATTGATTTGTGGTTTTTTTCAAAATTTCTCACGCGTTAAGAAAATACACAAACGATTTGGGGGAAGTGTTACAATATGTAGTTAAACTATAAAGCCTTTGAATACTGTTTTGAATAATCGTGTATATATTTATGTATAGACATTAAGGTTTTTTACAATTTTTATGGGGAAAATTACGGCTATTATTCTTAAATTGACCCATATTTGTGTAGTAGTCGGTAGTAATGCCAGGTGAAGCTGCGTCTTCAATCACTGGACAATCACTGGCCATTTTATGTTGGATGGCAAGAGCTATGGCCGAGTTAGGCATGGAACAGGCTGTTCATGGTCTGTCTGCTTGGGCTCGTCGAATTTATCATGTCGAATTACCGTTTTTAACCGCTATTGCTGAAATTGCCGCAGCTAGGTGAGTCATTATTGGGGTCAATATTTGCTAGGTAGCTTCTCTATCCACCATTCCGAAAGTTTTATTTTTAAAGAGTTTGTATCTGATCTTTATATCAGTCTAGATATGAGCGTTCTTTGGTGCTGCTTCGTACGTGCATTGAAGATCAGACATTGCCAGAGACATTCCGTGAAATGCTCAGAGAAGTTGTGCGTGCATCTTCGCTGTTATGATATTGTTGATTTTTTTCAGTCTTGCCTAATCACTTCATTCAGCGCGTCGATGTCTTATCACGACTTCGACATCCAGTTTTCTTGGATGCTTTTAGCTGTCCGACGGAGTTTTCTCTCTGGAGCGAAGCAGAGAAGCTTGACGTAGAAAGTCCACCGGGAATTGATTTGGAGTCATTTACGAGGTTTGGCAGTAGTGCTGTGAGAACACGATAATAGTGGCATACACTTTTATGGTTGGACCCAGTTCAGAGTTAACTGAAGTTTGATGTCAGTTTTCCTCCAGATTGAAGCAGCTTTCTATGTTTGGAAAAATCGAGCCTACCGAAGTGTTGCCTGGAGTGGCTTGGGATTTTGTGGATGTTTCGCACCGTTTGGAATCTAAGTTGCTTCAGACGTTAAGAAGGTACTCCGGTGTTTATTTTTCCATTCCCTGTATATTTACGTAATGGTTCTTTTAGGCCTGAGGTGGCTTCTATGAGAGAAAATATTGCCAATATGGCAAGCGTGGTGCTAATGGCTGATGGAGGACAGCGTCTTCACGGTAGATTGTCTGCCCTCAATCACATTGCTGGATCCGTTTTGCGCAAGATGAACCGGAAGGGTCAAGTAGACACTGACCGAAATACGGTTCTCCTTCTAAGATGATTTCATGCTATCGTTATTTACATGGTCATGATCTTTTCGTTTTAGACAGTGTTATCGGATTTAGCAGCTTCATTCCTGGCGAGCGATGCAGAATCTGGCGACATCGGAGACCGTCTCCGTCTAGGAAGACAGCTGACGTTATGGGCTGAGCGACTTGGTTGTGAGTTTTATTTGTAGTATGTACTGGATGCAGGGCTATTTAGTATGGAATTTTCTATTGATCAGGTCTTCCAAAATACTGCAATAACTTAAATTTAAATTTTTAAATCAAACTGAAGACGGCCTGGCCACTACACTCGACAACCTATTATGAGTTTTGACGTTTTAGCTACCAGCTAGGTGCAAAAACAATGACGGATTTTGTCTTCTTGGATCTTAATATTAAACATTCATCGTTTATTTTGTTGTTGTATAGTATGCTAAAGCTTATTTCTTTCCTAATTATTTGTTCCACAATACGATTTTATAAAACATAATTAACAATGGTTTTAGGTTAGTTAAGATTATGTTCACAAGTCAAGCTTTCCGTCATGAGTTCAAACTTGAAGATGACTCAGCGGAACTAAGTTGAGATGTCGTCAGAGAATTTTCCAGGAAATCTTTTCATAAGCATAGTGCGCGGAGTGTTTGGGAAATTTTATGGCAGTGACACGGTTTGACGAAGTAAGTGGTAGGCACCCATCAGCTGTTGATGAAGTTCATTTGAAGGTGGCAGTGGAAGCCTGGTGTCTAAAAACTGTGTGAAGAGGTCATAAAAGAACTCAGCGTTCACCAGGCGGCAACAATTTTCCACGCGAATGACATTATCGAAGGAAAGCTCGATAAATGTGTAGCACACGAATTGAACGAAAAGAAAAGTTCATCGTTATCAAGTCTCTACGGTCATTTTGCCCAACAAGACGGACTATTGCTTTACCATATTGCTGGATGCAGTGGAAAGTGGATCCCACACGACAAACTACAACTTTCTGCACGGTGTTTGGAACGAGTACTTCTCATTGTCGGATTATAATTGGAAGGTTGTGGCTACTATTTTAGCGGTATGCAGGGAAATTGGCTATAGACTCCTCTGAGAGGACTTCCATCGCTCCACAATTCCTATAAACTACCTCTGGTGAAGACCTGCATGGTCACCTCAATGCGCCACGTGGAATCAATTCGATCAGCATTTAGCGACATTCATGACAAAGATGAAAACCTTCAAGCAGTAGTCGAACTCACACAAGGAAGTTCGAAGATTTTTTTGAATAATGGATCGCTTAAACAAGTCGAATGCATGAAGTGCTGGGATGTGCGCAGTAGATCTGGAGGCGAATCATGTAAAATAAATTGCAAAGATAACGTTGTTCTCATCTTGTTCAATAAAGTTGTTTCGAACCAATTTCTATCACTTCAAAACTGTCGATCAAAATACATCACTATTTTTACATCATATAATACATAAATGTTTAAGTTTATGCATCAGACAAGGCCGTCGAAGGCTTTTTGCTGCATCTTGATCGAAGAAATTTTTTTCGCGCGAGAATTCATTCGGGTATTTTAAGAAAAGGTAAATTTCAAAACCGGTTCTTTAACCTCGGTATGACTAGTCAAGTGACAGAACAAGTTGCTATCATCGTCCAACCGCTAGAACTAACAACCACCGTCCTGTACAGAAGTGACTTGCCGGGTTAGATTGCCTTATTCGAGTGATGCTCCACTGAAGAAGATCTGACTCGATACGAAAACGAAGACACTACATTGAAAGTACGACCTATCTATGGACATCGACTTGGATCACCAGCTCTGAGGATGACGAAGACGTCGATGCTTTAGCTGATTAAAGTTGTTTGTCAACTTCGTGTAAGCTTATCAATGAAAGAATATAAATAGGTCTGTTAAGTAAAGCGAATGAGATGGAGTATCGGATCAGAAACTTCAACGGCTGTGATCCAGCTCGCTCAACAGAAAGGGTCAATTCATCTCCATGATAGCACGTTGCGACGCGTTGTACAACCGACACTGCAAAGATTGAACAAGGACTGGGCAGGGAAAGTGGTTCATCCACTATACTCGTCTGAGTTCGTCGTGCCTAGTGCATCTTCAAGCAACTATGTAGCTTTCTGTACAAGAAATGCTTCAGAAACCATGGATAGGCTGAAAGTTCTCTAAACGACTTCGTAGCCTGCATAGCTCTAGAGTTCTATGCAGTAAGTACAAATAAATTTGTTCCAAGTAGGCAAAAGTATGTGTATTCTGACTACTTCATTTAATAAGGTTTATTGCTACCTGAGGTATGCCAGTTTGGAAATATTGCTAGTAATCGGGAATTAATTTGCGAAGGACCTAGTACTTTCCGCTTTAACTTTTCATTAAGATTGTGGAATTTTTAGCGAATAGTGTATACAAAGGCCGCTTGTGGTGCAGTGGTCGGAGGTGCCCTGCAAAACACGTGGAATCGGTTCCCCCGCCCATGGCCCACTAAGTCATCCGCCCCTCCAGAGTCGGTAGAGACCAGGTCTGTCTGGTAAGATAGTAACACTGGCTCATTACATCGGTGGACCACCGCTTCAATCATGTCCAAACGATGCTTAGTGAAGTCGAATACATGGCGCATCTCCCAGGGATTGGCCATCACCGAGAGCTCTATCCTTTTTTTATTTTAATTGTATACAGGATACCCCGCCTCTTCCAGGCTTGAAACAAAGCGAGAATTGATGATTAATAATCTGTTAATAACCTTGTGTCAGTTCACAGTTCGTGGGAATGAAATAACTTATTTATTCATGCGGAAATTAATTGGAACTCGTCCATTCGAAATGTCAGTTTTTGAAGCCTTAACGCAACTGCGGCAGCTAAAAGCACGAGCCACATGTTGGAGGATATAGTTTAACGGTAAAGTACTTATGGGTTTATGTTAATTCATACTGTGCATTATGTGTTAAAACCGTATGTAGGAAATTAACAATCGAGAAACCATATTGACAAGATATAACGCCTGAAAATTTCATTCTAGAAAGGTGGACATTTCATAGTGGTTGTGCTCAAAATGCTACTAATAGTGCTGTGCTTAAAATGTAGGTAGTAAATGACACATTTTTACTACACAGGTTCGAGTCCGGCTCAATTACACCTACCTTTGGCAAGATTGGCTCGAAAAACATGCAATCCTTTGGTAGCCGGTGTCCATCTGCACAAAGCAAGCAGTAATCCTGTTCTCATCAATAACAGCCCAGTGCTGAACAGTTTGAGAGTGGCAGTACAAGGCTCAAAAATGGTAGCGTTGCATTTTTAGCTGTTCAAATGTTCGTTTGGTGGTAGTCACAAGGAAGACTTTAGGAAATAACTAGTGGAAATCAAGAGTGAAGTTTCTTTCTGATTTCTTCACCGTCTGTTTTCTTGTTTTGGTTCTTAATTACCTAATGTTTTATTAAAATACATTTACTACTTCTAGATGTGGGAAATCGCTTCACCGGAACAACGTGCTCGGAGTTTTGTTACGGTATTTGCTACACTACAGGGTGGATATGAGACCTTTTGCCACTCGTACCAAGTTCTTACAGTAAATGTAAACATGGTAAGGTTCAGTTTTCATTTTCTGTTGTTTCGCCATTAAGTACACATCACTGCGAATATTTTTAGGAAGTTCCACCACCTTTTGATGGAGTTAATGGTTTTATGAATAGTTTCAATCCCTTTGCAGGTGATTACTTCGTTCTTGCGTTCTGTTCTTATGTGCTCCTACCATGTCCGTTATTATGCGTTGCCATATTCGTACCTTTACATATGCTCTGTTATAGTTCCATTTGGTGGTCCACCGCCAAATATGGGCGTTCTGTCGACTACGTCATCAGCTGCACTTGCCGAAGAAGTATCGCGTACCTGTCTTCGTTTAGCGAAATGGCTCATTGACTGTCCACAGTTGGTCGCTGCAGTTCCACCTGAATGTAGACAATCCAGACTTTGGGTTCGATATATTAAGTTATTTTTTGTGGCACTATATTCTTTCATTTGTGATCGTTTCTTTTGCAGTTACGACTGGAAGCTGTTGGGCATGAAATGATGGGCTGTGACATGGTTGGAAGTCTCCTAGTTGTTGCTACGGAAGTCTTTCCAAGTCTTGGAAAAGCCCATCGTAGATTAGGAGATTGGGCGTTCTGTTCTGCAGAATCCGCAACGAGTGAGAGTGATAAATTAATGTTTTACAAAAATTATCGAGTGAGTTTCTCCTGATATCCTGTACTTCCTTCCTTTACATTAGTATGATGCAGAGTTTAGCTAGTCCTTGGAGGAAACATCACTGAGTCCGTGTTAGATGGGCTGTGGACTGCGTTGAACACTGCAAACTCAGTGGCCCACCTACGAGAAAATGTGCTGGCTGCAATTCCGAACGATACCGATGTGGTTGAAAGGTTTCTCAACATGATCCTAAATTTTGAGGCTTAAGTCAAGTTAATCGCTTTCGAAATTCGAAATGGAGACTGTGGGAGTGTGGAGTGTGACTTAGCGCAGAGCAGAGCTCTGACTTATTAGTACTTAGAATGGTTTTTTTTCAGTCTTCTGAAAAACGATAGTCATTTCACCAGTTTTTGGGCACAACTTCGGCAACGTAGATCAGTTTTTTACAATCTGGCAGTTTCTTCATACTTCTCTTATATTGCTCAACTCGGTGGGAAGGCTGCTACCGCTAACAAGGTATGTCGTATGATTTCGGTGTTGTTTGTGCCAAGTCTCTTGTATTTCTTCTTTTTTAAAATTGTTCTTGTAAAAAATCTAATAGTGTTTCCGTTCGTCGTCTTTCTTTTCCTACTTTTTCCACTTTTCGAAATTTGCCTTGACTTTCCGGTAGAATGCTATCATTTCTTCCGATATCTCTTTAAAGGGAACGATTGATAGTGTGTCAGCAAACCTTCGTATTCTTGGACTGCTTGCAAAGCATGCGGATTTCCTCCACGATGTTATCGACCAAGGTTTGCGAATCACGAATGAGCACTTATGGAAAGGTAAGTACGAAGCAACAGCAATGATTTAAGAAACTTGAAATTTCCTTAGATTTATTGTGCATTGGTTCTCACTCATTTTCCATATTGTTATTCTCGCACAATTGATGAAAAGTCAGGATATTCCTTTTTTATTACAGATATTTTACCACAACTATTCGCTCGTCTATCTCATCCTGTAAAAGAAGTTCGACAATCACTTTTGGGATTATTATCTAAACTTTGTGCGTAATATTGCTTTACTTTTCTTTGTTTTTGTCGCCATACTTTTCTTATTTCTCTCTATTAAATTGAATTTTTACATTACTCACCATAACTTTTTCAGGTTGCTCTGCTCCACATACGGTAGTTTTTCAAGCAGTTGCAGGCTCTTCTTCCAGCATGTTAGTAGCGAATGACGATGATGTTTTAGAAACTAATGAAAAGGATTATAATGAAAGCAGTAACAGGGTTAGTGTCATTTTCGTGTCGATTTTAAATTTAGCACGCCATGCATGTCCTTCTCAGGAGCGTTGCCTAATGTTCGAAGGATGTCGCGTGTTGGTGTCGGTGCTTGAGATGCATTATCCTGAACTCGTGAAAGACGTTAGAGAATTTGTTAATGAACTGCAGAGGATAAATCTTTTGAATGAGGAGAGGTGAGATATACATCATCAGTCTTAATAATATGCGGAAACTTTTCTGATCCAGTGAAGATGAAATTATTAAATTGAAAAATTTTTCTAAAGAAGTTTATGATGACTTACTTATCTCCATCTTAGGTTACTTTGTATTATCCTTACCCAATGTTTTTTTCTTTGGAAGTATATATTCAGTCTAACGAACTAATTTTTTTCTCTTATTGCTGTTAAAAGTAAGGTTCCTTTCGTACACACATTACTGCCACATTCTCCACGATACTTTCAATTATATGGCCGAGAGACGGACAATGCGAGAAAGTTATGCTTCATTTTCTATTCAGCTGTTTATTTAGCTGGGTCGCCCTTTCTTGCTGTGCCTTGTGTATTTAATCGATAATTTGTCAATTATAGAAGTTGCACAAGATTATTCGAAGAACACTATTCTGATGAGTGTGCTCATCTGATAGAGTGCTATAGTAATTATGCTGGTGAACAGGATGTTACGTTTTTACTGTACTTTCATATTGAGGTTCAACATTAAGAGGTACATCACCACAAGAAGGTGGTAAACGCTCTGCGAATCTTGTTTAGACGTAGTTTTTGTGTGGATTTACTGTTAGCACCACCATGATTATTGACAGTGAAAAGGCTTTCAGTTATTAAAGTGCGCTTTTTATGTGTGGGTGTAAAAAGTTTTTGGAAATGTGGGAATATGTTCATCATATGTTGTGTCCATTACAAACTGCTGGTTTAGTGATTGAATGGCGAGCGAATATTTTTTCATCACATCTACAATGGCTGTTTCAAAAGCATGAAATGAAGAACAGGGAATACATAGGAGATAGGAAACCCCTGAAATATGGAATTAAAGTTCATTAATAACCAAATTTCTGTGCAAAAGGTAAGAAAAAGGGTGTGGACTTCATCAGGGCACAGGCGAGTCAGTATATGACTTGTTGCGCACGAGGCATAAAAATTAGATATTGTCGCGAAATTGGATGTTAGGAAACGAAAATCCCACTGAGAATCTTACGCTCATTAAGTTTTTATTTTCTGAAGGCAATTTATTAACATTTTTACCATCGTCGCTTCAGGTGGATGTTTGTTCTTGCTAACCTGGACCATGAAATGGAAAAACGTTTGGATCAAATTCGTACTGAAACTGAAAAGACGGTAAATGCAGTACATCTAGACGAGAAAACCCGGCTGGAAATCATCGCGGAGAAATCCCGTTTGATCACCTCATCTGTGAGTATAGCTATTAAGTAGTTTTAGACGGTTTTTTTTTCTCAATTTTCACCTTCAAAATAAATCCACAAACTTCACCTCCTAGTGACCAATAGAGGTAAAACATCTTTGATCATTGGCTTAGTGCGTGGTATTCTCGGAGATGTTCTAAATGTCAGACTGCTATGTGCAACTATTCATCCCAACAGTCCTGCAAGCTGAGTTGATGAATATGTTCACATGGAAACCCAGTAATCGTGGAAAGAGTGCTCCAGTCTGTGGATTTGAGAGACGGGACAATCCATATTATGCGATCAAATCTAGCGTTGCACAGCACGTCATTGTAACCGAGTCAGAGATGCAGCAAACACACAGTTTCCTCAAAAGGGATTCAGAGGATATCTTCTGCTACCATTACCAAAGTGTTACACGAGAAGATATCCAAAAGTCGATCCTAGTGCAGTACATCTTACGTGGCCGATAATAAAGGCCTTTCACATGAGGAGTTACATTCACGCCAATGGAAAAAAAATTGTCGGAAACATTTTCAAGGGAGAAACGGTTCAAGGAAATACCGCAGGAAACTTGTAACATGTGGCCTCAAGAAAAGCGTAACGATTAACTTCCGAAAAGATGGTTTCGAAGTTTTAAATATACAGCAAGAAGCAGCCTCGATGGCGTATTGACGGAATTTTTTTCGACTCGGTTCCATTGAAGTATTAAATCCGGGATTTAGTCGTATCTGATCGGTTTTCTCTCTTTCTGAAATCGTAAACGGTGGCATCCGTGCCGTGGTAACTGACGTTCCGAATGTAAATATTTAACTGTTGAAGATGAATCGTTTCTCATAACAGTTTGACATCTAGAAAACTTCCTTGGTTATAAGAGCCAACGTAAGTTTTCGAACAATGTCACGATCCTCAGCTCGATGTGCGGGTTCTTCTTGCTTGCACCACCGTTCTCTATTTTATCGTGGTTGGCAGAGCTCACGTTTTGGTGCGGAATGCCAAATACAAGCGACAGAACTAATTTCATATACATATATATATGTATATATATGTACGTACATGTATGTAAATATGCATATATACACGTGTATATGTACAGGTATATACATATATATATACATATGTATATAGTACAATCTCACTTAGCTGATGATACTCTTCTGTACTGGTTTTTCAAACATTGAATAACAGCGGTAGTAGTTGTTATAACATTCTTGAAAAGGACTTCTGATGGTGTATCCGTGTTTTGTTTTTGTCTTCATTCGCTTTCATGCACTAGAAAAGGGTCAGAAACTATAAACAATGTGAATGATGTTGACTTTTTATTTACTGCCTTTTAGTAGCTTTCACGGCGGGGTATTGTTTGTGAAACAACCACAATGATGCTGAGATATTTGCAAAACTGCGGACCGCAGGTGTGTGCGGTGGAGAACGAACGCACTATTGTCCTTTCCGGGGAGTAACGCGCTCACCACCACACCATGTAGGTCCTTCGTTTCGCCTGTCCCTCAGCTAGTTCGATCGATCAGGGCCATCAGCAATCACCCGTCAACGGGATTGATCTGGGGAGTCCAATAGCCTCAGCTTAAGTGGGTTCAATGCCGATTCAATTCAATGCATGCACCAGCGGTCCGGAATTTTGCAAATATCTCAGCATCATTGTGGTTGTTTGACAAATGTAAATGATGTTATTTTCGCTGAAATTCATGTCTTCATTACCACATCGCGATTTTGTTTCTTCACACATTTTTTTTAGGTTTACCGAATTCTTGACGACCTATACGAACGAACATGCCTTCGAGAGCCGACAACGCAAAATGAACGCATGTTCGTGCAAGCATACGGCGAGAAACTACAGTCGGTGTTCGAACAGTCACGTGCTAATCGAAAGAGTGCGGAAAAGTCATGGGCACCATTCAAACATGTACATGCAGAGATATACGAAATGTCATTTCATACTCACCGTTTAGAAAAGTTTTAGCTGCTTGGGATTCTCCTACAAAAAAATTCACGTCGAGGCGGGCACTGTCTACAGGTGCCAGAGATATCACCCATTCTTAGCGAGGTACTTTCTTATGTTTAACACTTTTTGTTCCAGTTACTCATACCAGCATTTTAGTTATCAAAGAGCAGAATTCCAATTCCGGGTCAAGAGAACATGGAATACAGTGAGGTAGTGACAATTGACCGTGTGCTGAAGAACGTGCTTATCCTTCCAACGAAGACTAGACCGAAAAAGATTGCGTTCGTTGGCAGTGAAGGAAAAGAGTAAGTGGTACTGTTTTGGTTTTTTTTTCTGAGTGAGAGTCAACGGTTGTTTTTCAGACATATATTTCTTTTCAAAGGACAAGAAGATCTTCACCTTGATGAACGAATTATGCAATTATTGCATATTTGTAATCTTATGCTTGCTGGTGGATCATCTAAGCGGTTAGTTACCTTCGAATGGTTTATTTCATTAGTGTTATAAGTCGGTGAGAAAGCCAAAATTTGTTTTAGAGTGATATCTAGCATGTTTTGTTTTTAAAATTTTATAGCAGCTGGCCTCCATATTGCGCTCATCACTACGCTGTCACTCCATTGGGGACTCGCTCAGGTCTCATTCAGTGGGTAAGCGGTGCTACACCCATGTTTCATATCTACAGGAAGTGGCAACTCAGACAAGTTCGTACTAGTTCGCTGTGGATGATTCTTATCAAAGCACAATTTGCTAAAGCGTGGTTCAGGCGCAAATTAAACATTCAATGGAGCGAAAGAGCGGAGTACCGGCGACTACGGTAGCGTTAGACGTTGATAGGCCGACAGACCTCTTTCAAAAAAAGATGCGTGGTCTTTTTACAGCTCATGTAAGTTTGCAAACCTTGGTGCCAATTCTTGAAAGAGATCTACACAACGTTTTTCTAGAATGTAGAAACGGCCATCATTGCCGATCGTTCAAAGTGGCCACAAAATCTTCTGAGGGAGGTGTTCGATTCACTTATAAAAGAAACACCAAAAGATCTTATTAGTCGGTGAGAGAAGACATTTGCTTTAGTTCTGTAGTATGTTCGAAGTTTTCCATGGTGAAAAGATCGCTGCATGTTGGTTTTTTTTATGTTTTGTTGTTGATTACTATTTGAGCTGTATTGTTTAATAATTCTAAAAATATATTGAGCTTGAATGTGATGACATGTTATTGCTCCTTGTTGAGTCAGTGTTTATATTGTAGAGAGTTATGGATGCGTTCTGGCAGTTGCGACACATGGTGGCGTGTGGTGTGCAGGTATGCGCGTTCAACCGCGGTGATGTCAATGATTGGAGCAATTCTTGGCCTTGGAGATAGACATCTTGACAACGTTCTTGTTAATCTTGATCGTGGAGATGTCGTACATATCGACTACAATATTTGCTTTGATAAAGTAAGCAGATTTTTTTTCTCAAAACGCAGAGCCTTTTTCAAAATTCCTTGCCACAAGTGAATGTTACATGATATATGGTTGTCGCAGTTATAATAATGTTAGTTGGCAGTGAGAAATGAAATAGTGGTTGGTTCGATGGGATTGTGTAAGAAGAAGTATCTTATGCCACTTTTTCCTCACTAATTCTGTTAAAAATTGGTCTGAGCTCAGTACAAAACGGGTATCGTCCACAAGATCGCAGAGTCTATGTTGACACTTTTAGAAATTTGAACTTTTCCAAATTCTAAGAGTTTTGGCTTTAAACGAATTGGTGTTTAGGCTGCGTTTTCTAAAAATCACTCTTGCTTTAGGGCTAAAAATCAAAGTCTCATAAGTATCCTGATTCATTGATATGCTTCAAGAGATTGTTGTAAAATTTTATCCTGACTAACGTCACTGTCGCTGTCGCTTTCTTCAGAGTCGTAATTAAGTGTCCGCAGTAGCAATTTTTTTGCTAAATGGGTTTCAATAGTCGCATCGAGTGGAATTTGTTGGAGTAGTGCACTGCATATCAAAAGTTTCATAACAACTTCGTGTATGCTTCTCAGTAAACCGAGATATTGGTTATTAATGCCAAAGTTAGGTAGAAGTCGATATTTGGAGCCTGTGTTCTACCGTTATCAAATGGGTGCGTGTGGTTCAGTGGTCAGAGGCACTATGCAGTGCACAAGGAATCGATTCTTGCACCGCTGGCCCACCGAGCCTCCATCTCTCCGGGGTAGGCAAATTGATAGCAGACTTGTCTGGGAGGATAGCAGTACTGGCTCAATACATCGATAGGCCACCGCGAGTAATTGTAAAGGAAATTCAGTCACCTCAAAGCCATATTGAATGAAGTCGAATGCATGGCGCATACCTATGCGATTGATCATCGCCAAAAGCTCTATCTTTATTTACCATTATCAAGGTTTCAATTCCTTAAATATACTAGCTGTTAGAAAATTATGTATTGTCGAAAAGTCAGCATTGTCTCGGATATGTTCGGATGTCTAGATTTCTAATTCACTGTAATTTTTATAGTATTCAGTCTTCTTCACCTTTTATGCTGTCATGTAAGGTTTATTCCTTTATTTATTTTTTACCTATTGTTCTTCTTTTCGTTTGGTTCATTTTGTACTGATCAAAGGGGGCCAAAATTTGAGACTTCGAGAATTTTTAGGGCAAACATCTACGAGTTCCAGAAACTGTGCCATTTCGTCTTACGCAAAACATCCTTCACGCTCTCGGGCCAACACAAGTTGAGGTGATTTTTACCAGAATTGTGGTGGCATTCATCTGTGTTCAGCTGAAAACTTGGGTGCTCGCAATTCCAGGGAGTATTTCGTGAATCGTGTTCACAAGTCCTTTCGACGTTGAGGGAAGGGCGTGAAGTATTGCTAACAGTTTTGGATGCATTTGTGTACGACCCGCTTGTTGACTGGGCTGTCTCTGATCATCTAACGGCCTCATCAGCTGCTGTTGGAGTTGCCGTAACTTTGGCCGTTTATGGTGGGGTTTTTCTTCCAAATTTTCTTGTTGTATTGATAAACTACACGGGTATTATGTTCTGATGTCCGGTATAGGCACGAACTCAAGGGCTGTTGAGGCGAAGCCAGTTGTGCGGGAAATGTTCTCTGTGCGAGTAAGAGAAAACAGCTCGTTGTGGATGAAGAATTTGTGAGTCTTTCCCATGGAATCGTCACCTTTTCGGTTGTTGCATTTATATCTTCTAAATGACGTGAAGCATAATTGTGCCATTTATTTTGTTGCAGCAGTGAACTCAAGTCGGCGTTGGCGAGTGTTGTCGATGTTTTGCGACGTGAACATGGGACTCCAGAAAGAAATGTATGGAAAAATCGCGAACTTTTAGGACAAGTGAGCGTAGTATCTTTTAGTCCACTTTGTTGAAAAAAATTGAATGATACAGTTCCTAATGTTGTTTAATATCCGAAGAAGTTCTCGACTTGTAATGATGCGTTACAGGAGCGAGTAGAAGCTGGGAGACGTCTGAAATCATCAATCGCTCGTCACCACAATATAATCAAAGATTTCCGTCCTCTTCTCAAAGCGCTAGCAACGGTAGGATTCCATAAAATATGATGTTTTTTGGAATTGATGTCCCTTCTACCTTTATTTCATATTCCGTATTAAAATCATAGTGTGACGACCGTTTTGTCGACTACATCCATGCATATCGCGTGCGTTTTTCTGAACCACTTGTCAAGGCACATCAGTTGTTGGACGCAGAATCTCTGGATTTAGACGCTTGTCTTCGTCACTTCGCAGTCGTACAGGACAACATATCCGAGTAATTGTTTTGCTTTCATCTAGAGTTAAAGTCTCTCATTGTTGAAGGTATTCTTTTTCAGTATATATTCTGGTCTGCTGTCGTTGAATAAGGATATATCATCAATCCGAGAACACTCAGCGGACGCCATTTTACAGAATTCCTTTAAAAACGGGCCCACAGAATTTCCTCCGGGATTTGAAGGCAAGGTCTTTTTGGGGTGTGATTACTGATTACTTTTCCACTGTGTGTTCATATTCATGAGACCAAGCAGTGCATGGACGGAGCTACCGATTCAGAGTGTGAAATTCTTTGCTTCCTTAATGGTGTAATTTTGTTGCTTTACTAAATCCGTTCTAATTTTTTAGATTCTCGTCCACACCACAAGCAGCAGCAGGAACAGAATGTACACGCTAACAACGTTGTGAGAAGAGTTCGGGCTCGCCTAGAAGGCCGCACTGAGCCGTCTGACCCACATAAAATAGTTGGCACGAATGAGCAAGTACGCTAGTAAATAGTTCATCTAATAATTCCTAGCCCGGACCTTCTATCAATCACGGTAATGGTCGGCATTTTTGTGTTCTTGATGAGCAAACACGAAGTTGTTAAAATATTATTGATTGTATGCTTGGTGAGCGGTTATCTGATTTTATCATGGCGACCAACACCATTCATGGTAACTCGCAATTCCAGAAGCCCCACCCTCAACACTGGACTTGAAGGTCTCTCAATGGAGAGTACCATAACGAAATAGACCACATCACAGTAAGTAGGTTTTGCCTAACCGAAGATGCTGTTGTTTCAAAATTTACAAGGGATCAGACCATCGCCTCCTTCGTGCAAGATTCTATTTCTCGCGGAGAGGAGAAAAGCCGCTAAATTGAAAAACCGAAGTCTCAGAACCACCGTAAACTGGTTCTTATTCAATTCATTAGTCGGCTGTTGGGAAGATGCCGTTGTCGACAACAGCGACGAAGAATACAATCGGCTCATTCAACATTTTCACGTTAGTGCTATGAAAGCTGAGTGTTCGAAAGTCACCAAGAGACGTCTGTCTCCAGAAACACTCGGGATGCGCCAGCGTGGAATCGCACGAGCTGCAGGCAACCGCGAACTAACGTCCGAACATGCAAAACAATGCAGAGAGGCGATAAAAGAAGATGTTAAAGCGAGAAGAGCAGCAGTAATAGTCGAATCTGTAGAGGCTGGAAAAACAATTCACAAAGCCCACAGAAACTTTGCCAGTTGCAAGACCAACACGATTACTCTGCGACGCCCAGACGGAACAGTAGCAGCGTCCAGAAAAGCAGTGGAGAAAACCATTCACGAATACTACTCAGATCTCTTCGATAGCCACGTCCACCTTCCGTCATATGAAATAAGAGGATGGATATGTTGTACCATCCGTTCTCGCTTCCGTAATCCGACACTCCATTTCGTCGTTGAAAAATCGAGCACCATCAAATCCGGACAGAATAAGATCAGAACACCTGAAAAACACTGGACGAAGGACGGCCATGTGAGCAAGCAGTGTTTGGAAAAGGATTTAGTACGATGGACCAGATCCACACGATAACAAGGCTCATTGAAGTATCGCGAGAGTACAAAAGGTCCCTCTATCTCACTTTCATCGATTTATAGAAGAGCTTTGACTAAATTGAGATAGAAGCAGTCATGGAAGCCCTTGATTATCAGGGAGTCCCTACTCAATGCATAAGGATTCTTCGTGAGCTGTACAAAAATTTTACAACCAAGATATCACCAGTCTACAACGATATTAACGTCAAAAGAGGAGTTAGGCAAGGCGACACCATCTCGCCAAAATTATTTACCACCACCCTCCAGAACGTCATGCGAACATTGGAATGGGATAATATAGGAGTGCAAATCGATGGCCAGCAGTTACACCATCTTCGCTTTCCTGATGACATCAGAATTATAACACCAAACATTATTCAATCCTAACGAATGCTTGGCGACTTTGATAAAGCCTGTGGAAAGATTGGTCGTCCACTGAATCTCACAAAAACGATGTTCATGTGGAGCGGATTGGTTTCGTATGCCCCTTTCACACTCAACGGAACGAACATCTCTGAATGCTCTAGTTATGTCTATCTAGGTCGGGAAATCAATATGATGAACAACCTAGCTCCAGAGCTGAGCAGAAGGAAACGAGCAGCTTGGGGAGCTTTCAAGAGCATCGAAGATGTAGTGAAGAGGACAAAGAACACCCGACTCCGTGCCCACCTTTCCGACTCAACGGTACTTCCTGCCCTAACGTATGCATCAGAAGCGTGGTCGATGCGTAAGCGGGATGAAAGATCACTCAGAGCGGTCGAACGCGAAGTCGAAAGGGCGATGCTAGAAGTATCTCGTTCCACACAAGTAAGGGATGGGATCCGAAGCTTGGACCCGCGTGAACCATCAAAAATCAATGATGCCGTTGTGTACGCCAAACAGTTGAAGATAAGGTGGGTCGGACTCGTAGTGCGTATGCATGGCAACCGATGGACAAGAGCCGTTAGTAACTGGATTCTTCGGGATGTGAAACGTACTGCAGGAAGACCACCGACCCAATGGTCAGAGTTTTTCTCAAAGAGCTTTGAAAAAAGGTGTGATGCTTGACGAGTTCCTAGAGCGAACAGAACCCACTGGGCTACTCTTGCGCGCGACAGGGAGAAATGGAAGATTTACTGGCGCCCGTTCGGGTTACTCGACGATCAACGGGACTACAGGTGATACAGGCGGTACTTGCTAACATTTCGGCGGTTTCGCCTTCTTCAGACCCTCGAAAGGTTAAGTTGGTGCGCAGTTTACTCATGCAGATACTTTCGTGGCACTAAAACTTAGTACAAAAATTCAATCGCTTGCTCTTTTAAATATATCTTTTTTAAACAGTCGTCTTTTTCAGTAGTTTGGTCGCTTATTGATGGAAGCAAAAGCACAGTTTTCTTGAGGGAGGCATGTGCCTCTTTCAGGTGAAAGTAATAATCTAGGTATTTTGCGAAGTCACGCGTGATTACATCCTCCAAAGATAAAATTTGCGTGCCAGTTTGAGCTTTACAGGCTCTGGAGAAGGCGAAACCGAAACGTTAACAACTGTCAAGTGAAAATTATCTGATTATATTTCCTAACTAACCTCATATCTGCTTATCAAGGAAACAAAAAAATACTTTGTAAAGTTTTTTCCACATCTAAAAACAATTTTTTTTCTAATTTTTCCAATTCTGAGAATGTTTTTAGGTGGATATTCTTATTGGTCAAGCCACGAATGCCAATCTGCTTTCTCTGATGTACGAGGGATGGACGGCTTGGGTTTGAAAATGCGCATCGTTCCCTGAAAAGTGTAACGGTACGATTTCTGTTCACTGCTTTCGGTTTTTAATCTCACTGCTTAGCTTACTTTTTTGTCCGTTCGTTTTAGTGCAGTTTAAAGCTATATCGTTTTAGAAGGTTTTTGTGGCGTTTCGCAATGAGTGCGTTACTGCCGTCGTCACCATGGCTGGTTCTCTACGACAGATGATTTCGTTCATCGCCGATCGAGGTCTCTTGTCCTGTCCATGTGAATTCTTCAAAACCATAAGGACGTTACCGTCATGCATGACAGTCTACGCCGTACATCGTTCGGCGACCCTGATGTCGTGATCCGTGTTCCTGTCACTGAACCTGCTTCAAACATCTGGTATAATCGCCTCCCGAGTGGTATGACCCCAATGTTGATGGTACTTACTCACTCGTATAGAGCTAGGAATGGATTCACTATGATAAATAGCTTGGGTTATTCCTCAGGAGGAAGTATGCAGATCAGGATACGACGTCGCCATATTTTTAGTATTAAGAAAAGTGTCCACGTAAACCAGTAGAGCTACTGTTTTCCAATCCTAGTGCTCCTTGGTTACTTGGTCGCACTTACAGCATCACTGTTTTACAATATCGACTTGCTTTGCCATAAATTCATTTTCTTTACCTTCACTTTTTTTTTGGTCTTATTTTGTGGTTCTGAAAAATTGGTTAATAGTCACGAATGTGTTTATTATTTGTTTATTGTTGACATTAAAAATATGTTCGGTGTGTTAAATTCATTGTGAGAGAATAGAGTGTTAGTCAGGTTTACAGCTGCGCGTTAGTTGCCTTTAAGAACTTCATTTGCTCTATTGTAGCCAAGCTGTAGCATTGTAGTGGTCTACTGCGTGAGGCGCATACGTCCCTTGACTGAACAACACTGGGGTTTGATATACCTTGTGGGCTTTGTCTACAAGGTTCTGAAATTCAGATATTATTATAATCAGATGAAAATCTTCTCTGAAGGTATACGACGCAGAAACATATTGATAACACTCTGTGAACACTGAGCCTCGCAATTGTTTTCATTTCACTAAAGCTGTATATATGTCTCCTGATTGGTTAATCATGTCGCAAGGAAGTGATCCTAATGTCGATTTTAATTGTTCAAGTACAGCAGCAACATCGTTGTACCCTCTTCACCGGTGGTAGACATTTTGATGTGCACGTTATTCACAGAAAGAAGTCTCTTGCTAGTTAAAAATTGCCTCTTAATGAATTCATTGGGAAGAGTATATTGCTAAGTGCAGAATAGGTACCACAAGCGCTTTGGTTGGTGGCAATATGGTTGCGTGGGCGATTGGCAAAGCGATTCTCCTACTTATGAATGATTTTCTTTTCCCCAGTGACAGGAACGATAATTGCATGGGTCCAGGTTCTTTAAAGAAAGTCCACTGCATGAAAAATGTCTCCATGTATAGGGAAGCGAATAATGTGCTACGCTCGGAGGCTGATGTGCGTGGATTCCTATTCGCACTAAGAGAGGGGCTGGTCGCCCTGCGTGAACTTATGTCAGCTCTTTTTCTTTTTTGTCGTTCTGTTCTGCCACATAAGAGGCACTTCCTGTACTTTTGCTTGTACATTTCAAAATTTGCGAAAACCGTCCTTGGAGAGAGTGTGTTCAGGCGATTTGAGTCTCAGCGCGGCAGATTTATGAATGGGTACAAGTTTCGGCCACCTGCATATTGAATACTAAAACTTTCAGAAAAGAAAGTAGAAGAGTATCTGAATGTTTGAAAATTCCTCGAAACACATATGCGAATATTCTTATCTCAAAGATTATTTCGTAGATTAACTTTTATTTGAGCAGAATAGGACTCACAACAGAGATGTGGCATAAAAATTATACGGACATTGAGACAATTACAATTACCAGAATTATGGCAACAAACTGGATAGATCACATGGAAACTTTTACGGAAAATGACTAAAGCCTTATAGAAATAACACTCGGAGGTGGCCACAATGGCGATCACCAGCTGGCGGCGGCAATGAGAATAACTGGCATCCGGTCAGAGGCTGCCGAGCAGGTAATTGGTCTGGGCTGTGTATAACTTCTCAAAGTCATCCGTCGTCACGATAGGCCAGACCGGAATTGACTCCTGAATTGGAGCAGGATCTTATAGTGTCGTTAGCAAGCCGCCTTATGGTCTCCTTATTGTGGTGATCAGGAAACGTGAAGTTAAACGATCTCACCGTAGTGAGAATTTGTCTCAGGAAAACGATTATTAGCGAATAGAACTTGGCCTGCGATGTAGTAAAACATCATTTTTTGTGTTTGCTTAGTTCTTTTTTTTCGCATGGTGAATCACAACAGATATAACGCGAAATCTCAGAAGTTATATTCCATCCCCTCACAACCGTCCTCATCGTGGTTTGGAGTCGTTCCTGGATTTCGAGATGCGATGTATAGCGGAGGATTCATCCCCCAAAAGGGTCTCCTAAGCTGAGGAGTCCAGCGTTTCCATCAGGAAGCCTAACTAAGAGTAAACCAATACCAGGATCCACCACCGTTCTGGTACTAAACTAGTCGCATGGGAGCAAATTTCCCTCTGATGCACAAGGGCAGCGACCGCCTGTCGTGGTGACGACCTGAGACAGATTTTGGTTTAGCTGACTTTGGGACCTCAGAGAATGGTTAATGGTTAAATCACCGAAACTCCAAAAAAAAGATGAAAATTACGCTGTTGCGGGCATAGTCAGTGAAGTCAGGCCACAGAAGTATCCAAGTAAGTATGTTTCATCCCACAAATGTTTTCAATTCCTAAGATATTGAAACTACCCGTAATCCAGTAATTATGGGAAAAAGTCATTGGACAAACCTTTCGGGCAATATTATTGGTTTCAGGATTAGAAGTTATCACAACATAGCTGCATTTCTTTCCAAACCGGTTCTGAATTCGATCTATCACCGCTTCCTGCAAAACTCATTAATTGCCAATTCAGTGGGAGTTTAGACACCATACGAACCCTGCCGGTTTTGTTGGTGCTGTAGACGTTTTCGATGGGTGCTACCGGTGCAAGTCCTGCCAAAAGCAGTTGGACAACTGCTGGCACCAGTGGATCACCACAGAGCACAACGTTTGCGTACTTCTCCGACGAAACAGCCGTCCTAAAAATGATTTTGACCTCTGCATACTTTCTATCAGCTTGTGAAAAATGCACTAATCCACTAAGGTAGGGGTTAGTTTAAAAACACCTTTGTAAATAAATTTTTTTTGTTTGCTAACGGATACCTGAGAAATTGTGGAAGGTGTGTGGAACAAAACTGTAGAAAAAACAGAATTATCTTCAACAATTTTGCAAGAAAAAAACTGTTGGCATGTTTGAGAAACCAGATATTGGAAAGGCAGAGACGTCAAATTCCGAGATGATAATGAAGAACCTAAAGGCGAAGAGGTACTAACCTTTGGGCGACCACTTCAAGACATCTTCTGGCGATCTCACTCTTTCCGCCGAACAACAACTCAAGTTGTCTGCAAGCCTCGTTGATTTCTTCCTTTTGCGCTGACATACCGCATCGCTCGAGCAAAGCTTAAATTTTTTGAAATCAAATCGCCCAAACTGGAATTGGTGGCATTCCGAATTGTAGCCGAAGGTTCGCTTTTGCCTATGAAACGTGTGCTGGCTGCTGTATGCTTCATAAATTATAAAAATTTGTTGAGTCGGACTAAGGCGACGATTCAGTTTCTACCTAGCAGTTTCCTGAACACCCAAGAGCACTAGAATTCCCAAGTGAATGTTATTGAGCAAGGGCTGTTAACGTAATCTAAGGAGTCGGTATTGACTAGTTAACATCGAAGTTTCTAGAGTTGAGGCAAAAGTGGCGGCTTCGTATCACGCCTTGTGGTCTGTAGAGTAGAGCAGCGTTGCCCACTCACGTCCATACAGTAGCTGGTTCACCCAGCATTCAAAGTCATTCGAACCGCCATTCTTCCTCGGTCTGATAAATTTTTATCTACTTTCTTTCCTTCAATTAAATGATCTTTTGTTCTTATATTAAGTAAAGTTATAACACCAATACGATAGCTATAAAGTGCATCCATGTCTGCAAGGTGAGACCTTATACAGGGCAAAGGATAGATCTCTCGGCATTGATCAATCCCTGAGGAATGGACGATGCATTCAACTTTACTGAGCATCGTTGGAGGCGATTGAATGCATATCTGACCTTTACAATGACTCGCGGTGGGCTACCGATCTATCGAGCCAGTGCTGCCTCCTAGACATATCCTCCTAGACAAGTCTGGTACTGTTTTACCAACCCCGGAGGGATGGAGTGCTTGATGGGCATCGGGCACGGGGTTCGATCCCATGTGTATTGCAGGGCACCTCTGATCACTGAGACCTTATACCACTATGAAATACTACATTATGTATGAACGAGAAGCAAAGAAAGTAAGTTGAAAGCTGTTAGTCAAGCATTTAATACCTCACGGCATTTAATACCAGTAACAGAGTCTATTCTTTCAAAAAGCATAGCGTTTCTCGGTGTTCACGTCTTTTTTCCGATTAGGTTTTAATATTTTTAAATCTAGGAAGGAACTAATTTATGCCCACGCACCGTAGTCACATAATTGAGCATCCGGTTTGAGGGCACACTCCAGGTAGAGCTGTCGTAGAGCGAGGTACTTGCTCGCCATTCGACGCATCACTTCCACACCGCCTCTGGAATCATTAAGTGAATCGACACTGTAGCAAATCTATGATGAGCAGCAACTGACCGTCCGTCACCAAGGGCACTGTCTCCTAGGCTTTCTTCTAGCGCTGCGTCCTCGACATTGCATAACTCGGTGTCCTGGAAAGCAGGGAAGCTTGATCTCTCGCAAGCGGAGCTATTCTGACATATAGCAGTTATAGGTCTTTTGAAATTGTCTTTTTTTTCATATCTGATGAAGATGCAAGACAAAAAATGTAGAAACGACTTGTATAAAGGTATGAAAACGTTTGATAAGTAATGTGAATGAAAAAGTATGAAGTACTTTAGGAAACAGAATGAAATGCATTCCGTTCAGGCAGCCCTATGTAGGAGTGGCAAAAAATGCAATACGAGGAAGGTTCTAATCAAACAGAAAAATGTGCAGTAGGCAACGAATGGAGGAATTTGAAAGAACAAACACAAGACTCACGTCGAGTTGATCGGATGGAAAGGAAAGTGCCACAACTCGGGCAGAGAGGTTCTGAAGGAGAGCCGCCGCACGAGAATATTGAGGAGCCTGCAGTTCAATTCCCTATTCTCACTCTATGCTCTATTCCACTTCTCGTTTTTTTTCGTATTGATAAAAACATGCAATGCAATAAATGCAATAATAAATAATAAATGCAAAAATAATATAATATAAATGCATATAATATATATAATAAATATATATAATAAATATAATATAATATATATAATAAATATAATATATAATATAAATAATATATAATATAATATATAATAAATATAATAATAAATGCATATAATATAATAAATATAATATATATAATAAATATAAATATATATATATAATATATAATATAATATATATATATAATATAATATATATATATAAATATAATATATATATATATGTATATAATATATAATATATATAATATATATATATACATATTATATATATATAATATATATATAATATATATATATATAATAATATATAATATATTATATATATATAATATATAATACATATATATAATAAATGCAATAATCTAACATTTGCCTGAATTTCATGTGAGGAATACCGTAGTCGGAAAGCTACAATTATCACAGTTTAGGACGCCAATGCTTTCCTAAATGTTTTCGGCCCATTAATTTTCCAACTGACCAACCTTGCGAGCGACTTCGTTAAGAGAGGCGGTCGACAAGGTGCATATATCGTCGAGCTCCCAGACGAACACTCGTGCGAAATGAGTGTCAGCAGGTGAACACGAGTCTGTCTTCTTCTTCTTCGCAGATTTGCCGCCTTGAAGGAGAAAATTGTATGTGACGGTAACCAACCCCTGAAGGCAGACCGAGGATGCAAACCTCTTTTTTCACATTTCAGAGTGAAGGCGGACACGTCAGTCGCTGAATCCATTGAAATCGTCGGGCCCTAACAAAAACACAGTATATGTTATGGATTTGCTCCAATGTGGAAGTGTGTCAGTGGGAACTACCGCGTATGCAGAGGCGCCGGCCGCAAGTGCATTGCCGTAGTAGCCAGCTCGCATACCATTATAATACTGTGGATTGTAAGCTGAATAGTCGAAGCTGGTCGGATATGAACTTCCTGAAATGACGACAGATTTCGAAGAAGCTACTGATAAGCTGTCATCAATTAATGGTTTTTGAAGTGGTATCACATCGGGGTTAATCCACACCTGATCATTTGACCCGAGTTTCCTTTTCGGCTAGCTACGTTCATAAGTTACTTATAACCTTTATTTGAGACCCAATGATGAGTGGTGGATCAGAGATGTTTCTCGAACACAAATACTCTGGTCTTTAGCCCCGTGACACCTACGCAATCTTTTCTATGTCCCATTTGAACAGCTTCCTAAACAAAACATATTTTTCGTTTATAAGCTGATCTGATGTTGTTATCGAAATTTACATTTCTTTAGAGGATTTTGCGCAACACAATACACCTTAATTTAAGTGTTAAAATATCTCAACGTTATACAACACTTAGTATTTTCGAAGTCCTCACTTTTTTTACAGTTCATATTCGGAACTACTGCTCAATCTAAGAGGAAACTTTCTAGAATTCGACTTATGTCACTTGGTGTCACATTGGCACTGAACTTGTTTGGGAAGAAATCACTCTCTGCAATCCAACCGGGAACACTCCAGCCCTGTTATCTCAGGAGTCCAGGGAGAATCGACTCGACCAGCATTCTACGACATTCACGGTGAAATGAAAATCCTCAAGCAGCAACCGAAGCCACGCGCAAAAAGCGAATGTGAGAAGTACTGGGATCCGCACAATAAAGTGAAGACCGGATCATATAAAATTTAAAAAAAAGTAGTAACATCGGTTTCCTGCGAAACAGAGAAAAGATTCTCTCGGATCGATCTATACTTCTTTCATTTGTTAAAATAATCGTGTTTGAAACTATCAGTTTGGTGAAACGGAATTTTGTAACGCAACCATAAATATCAACGATGCACTTCCCCATACGTAAACAAGCAAATTGCGTCAACTGCGTAAACATTGGGGCAGTTTGATGTCTATATAAAGAGGCTTAGAGTGTGAGAAACTGAAGAAGGGCTACCGTAATATGTTGACGGAGTCGCTGTGCCGATAGCATAGGGAAATGAGGTGTTTTGCACTCTGAGACCAGTCGCTACCTGAAACGAATCGCTCATCATGCATATGCCACGGTGTTGTCCAAGAAAACGGTCGGAAGGTAGCCTGTGTGTGTTGTTGTTTACCTGTTGGTAGTAAGAAGCTGTTGCTGATGCACCGCCATATACTCCATAGCCACCAGTGCCGTAACCACTATTGTAGTAAGGATTTTGACCTAAAAATTTTTACACAAAAAAATTTATTTTTGCGTCGTACTTTCCTTCATACATAGTTTACTGTCGTTTTCATAGTGGCAAAATCTTCCTCAATAACTTTAGGGCAGCACTAATGAACTGCGAAACAAAGCATACTGAATGCGGACGTTGGGTCAGTGATCGCGACGAGACTGGTGGGGGTTGGCATGTCCTTAGAGGTGTCTGGAAGAATAGACCACACTGACGGTGCCACCAAGTCTGTGCTGTAACAAAACATTTTCGAGAGGACTACGGCTTTTTAACCTTATTGAACTAATTTCGGAATAGTTCCCAAGATCGTCTTTCTGTTAACCGCGGCATTGGAATATGAATGCGTCGTTTTCTTGTTCAGCAATCGCGAGCTCGTTAAACAGCATACATTTACTTTCATAGAAAAACGCAGTCACCAACCATATGCGACTATAATCAGCTGTTCTAAACTTCCTCATTGGAAGTCACGTAAAAGTGGTGAGTTTTTCGAGAAGTTGTTGATCATGTAATTACCATAGTCTTTCGTCTTTTTGTGTTATTGGAGCGTTTGGCCTAGTAGATTGTATATCAGTATACCCTTCCAGGCTCTGAAGAAGGCGATACTGCCGAAACGTCAGCTACTGTTATTTTGTATTGCGTTTTTCTATGGAAGTAAATCTATGCTGTTTAACAACCTCGCGATTGCTGAACAAGAAAACGACGCATTCATTTCGGAATGTTTTCATAGAGCATCGAAGTTGGAAAGACTATAAGAACAGGTAAGCACTAGTCTTTTCATCCTTGAGGAAGTACAACATTTAGGATTCGAGCCAGTCGATAAAAGAGTTGTTGTTTCATATCAGTGGTTATTACATCTTTGATACGAAGTTCCTAATATGAACAAGAGCGGCTATCAAATTTGATGGTATAAATATAGGACATTTCAGCATATCATTTTCCTTCTTCCCTAGGAAGGTTAGAACACTTCAATTAGCGCTGAAAGTTAACCCACTCTGAATTTGTGAAGCTGTTTCGAAGACAAAAATTGCCCACATTAAAACAAAATGCTTGGGAGTTCTCATTTTTGAAGAAGTATTTTATTTGACTTTCTAAGTGAAGAAAAGCTTGAAAAGTGTTATCCTGGAAACTGCGTTGTTACGGGTTTTAGTTAGTAAGTTCTAACCAGTGGCAAAATGCACAACGATGCAAGCGACATAAAGCGGAATGAAAATCTAAGGGCTTTTTAATCTCTGGAGGAAATAACCCTAGAAGGTAAAGAAAGGAAAAAACACTTGGTCGAGTAAAGCGGATAGAAAAGGTTGAATGCATATCGAAATCGTAGATCGGTTCAGCTCCCGTCTCCTTCTATTGGGAGATACATAGAACGGTTTTCTCCAGATGATGACAGACATGTGCGGAGAGAAAAAATCGAAGTCGGATGTAAGGGATAGCTAGGACAAACACAGCTTGTACTGGTACATGCCGTGTACAAACATTGCCATCTGGAGCCGAGGGCGCGAGAGTTGATGGCTCTTTGTTAACACACTCGCTCTACGTCCCCAATAATAGCCGCCAATATCTTGCTAGCAAAAACAAAGCCGGTAGGTAGCATACAAAAGAACAAGAAAACGACGAGGCAGTATTGGTGCTCAGCCGAAAAACCGTCTGGTAGGCTAAAATGGTGCATTCGTCGGCCTGAGATTTGGAGATTAAGCCATAGCCAAACTCGTTATAACGAATAAGCTATACGACAATGATAGTAAGCCAATAAAGGATGTAAGACGTAACGATGACGAGTCAAAAAAGCGCTTTGAATTTAACAATTATAGAAGAGGATGTGAAAAAGAGAAAAGGAAAGCCAAAAGTAGAAAAAATTGCGAAAAAAAGATGTGAACAAAAAAGTGGAAAAAAGCGAAATCCTGAAAACATTACCTAGGTGCGTCAGTGGTCGAGATAAATCGTGCTGATTTGACCTGAAATTAAGGACAGAAATTAGACATGATAGGGTAAATCCGAGTGTTGATAAGGCAGGGGATGGATGAACAATAAGCGAATGACTAGCAGCAATCAATGAGCACAATGGCTTTGCATAACGACCGTAGCTAATTGCTGGACAGAGCGGGAGCTTCGACGGTGCGCAAATTGCGACGCATCGAGGCGGACGCGGGTCGAGCGTAGCGCAGGTGCTTCGCCACGGGGGGCACGGTCGGAGGGAGGCACTTGAGTCGACCCCGGCAGGCCGGCAGGCCACACGGTCCCGTACGGGACGGGCCGGCCGGCGTTGCGTCATCAGCATCTACTGCGCTAGGTAATGGCCAAGGATGGGCACTGGCAGCCGTCATCTCGTGTTCACCAAATATCCCTTATTTATTAAATTTTCTTCTCTGAACCTACTCTCAAAGCATTCATCGCGTATCTATGAACTTCACTTTTTTTGCTACCCTAAACAGTTTTTCAGCATGCTAGATCGGAGTGCTTGGTTAAGTTGGTTAGAGCGGCCGAACATATAGAATCGTTTTCTAGATCTGTATCCCATATAAACGAAGCTTCTAAGTCGACAAAATAGTATCAGACTGGTCTGGGAGGATAACAACACTGACTTGATACGTCCTTAGGCCGTCGTAAATGCATATAATCACCCTACAGTGCTTGACGAAGTTGAATATATGACACACCCCTAAGGGGCTGATTAGCTGAACGCTTTATCCTTATTTTAGCCCACGGTACTATTATGAAGTCATGATTCAAAAGGATGAGTTGGAATGTTAGTGAAAACTGGATGTTTGAAGGAGTAACGCCGGTAACGGGTATTAATAAAACTGTATAAAATTGACAATGATGCTAAAAGCCTAAGTCGTTCATATATTCACTAAACACCTTTCTTATGAACTTAAAGATAAATTTAAAACTGTTTGTACAAGTTCCGTACCCACGCTTTTTGAAAATGGTAGCTCAACGCATTTGGAGAATTGCGTGACACTGGTAATCCTTAGCATTCTGTGAAGGAATGAAGGATGATCAAGCCCTTGGCACTGATCAATCCCTAAGGAATGCGCCGTGCATTCGACTTTATTAGGCATCATTTGGGGGTGATTCATTGCATATCTGGCCTTTACAATGACTCGCGGTGGCCTACTGAAGTATCGAGTCAGTGTTGCTGTCCTCCCAGGTAAGTTTGGTACCAATTTGCCGACTCCGGAAGGATGGGAGGCTTGGAGGGTCTGGAGCGCGTAGATCGATCCCATGTGTGTGTTGCAAGGCGCCTCCGACCACTGCCCCGCACGCGCCCATGTGAGGAATCAGTGACCAGAATTTCTTTCGACATAGCTCGAGACGTGTTTTTCCAGAAACTCATGCGTAAAAGAGCTGTGAATTACGAGGGAATCGTGCTCAAGAACTGTCTCACATTTATCCGAAGGAGGATAGAATGCAACTTGAGATTGGCGCCACTTGAGGGCAGCACGCGCGTTGTGGCAGGCAAACAAATAGGGCCTGATAATGACTACCCAAATACGGTAATCCCGTGGAAGTTAGTATTTCCCGGACTTGACATTTTCACGAGGAAATCGATTGCCCAAATTTTGTGGATATCCCTTTCTAGAAGTGGTTGTTTGTATTAAATTAGAATACTTAAATCTTAGTTTAGAGAAATCTTGCTCATCAGTGGCTAATGTAATGGGTTCGGCTGCGAGTTGAAAATTTATTTCATCCAGTCGTTGAAAAGCTGTGAAGGCTGTTCAAGGACTTCTTTTTTTTTTTTTGGGGGGGGGGGGGGGGGGGGGGGGAGGAATGCTAGAATGTCGTTGCAGGATGCTGCTTGGTTGTTATATACCAATTATTCGGCAGGTGT